CAAAATATATGCCTACATATATTATGATACTACAATTCATTATAATTCATAAATCTATAGTTGATATTTTAAAGGGTACAACGGTTTTTCTAATAAAATGTTTTCATAAAATTTATCAGCAGTAAAATCAATTTGTTTTCATAATCTTATAGTCGATTCTCAGAAGAATTATAACTGTTGTTTAACACAGATGTCTATTATAAAATGTTCTGTTACTTTTCCGTCAAAGAGGGGCATTAAATGCAATAATCATCATTCAAACAATAAGAATGTTATTTTCAGCTGGATTATATATACTGGAAGAAACAATAATGTTCAAATTTGTGCTCATTTCCTCAGATTCATTAACTTTTGTTTGTTTGCTTAATTGGTTTTATCCACACCAACAGAGTATATGTCATATGGCACCGAAACAGAGAAGATTATTTTGGCTAACCTCTGGTGTTACAAACTTCAAAGCAGCATGAGGGGTAAAAACCATCTCACCTGCTGGTGCATAGACACCAGGTATTCAAACCCACTTAATCACCTCTTACGATCACACAGGGATAAACAGTGGCTGCAATTCTTATGCTTCAAACATTAATGATATTTCAGGGTTAATTAACATTAAATTAACATTGGCTAAGAGTTGGGGAAAGGTTGTTTTTTAGAGAATATACTGTATTTCAAATTTTAGACACTACACCATCATATTTCACAAAATTAAATCCTAATGAGGCTAAGAAGCTAGCTTTAGAAACTTCTCACAACATACATATAGGTCTGCCATGCTAGGCTGCTGGCTTTATCTATGACCTCTGTAAAATCAATTCTACACAACTTCCATTCCCATAACATGTTTTTAATCATAGGATAGAAACTTCTTCCTATGCTGTTTTGAAGGGATGTGGTAACTCAGTAATTCAACATATTTTTACCAATTCTCTTTTTTATATTATCATGTTAGAATGGATTAAGATATTAAATTTTCTTGCAGAATAGTATAATAATGCACACTTAATTGTCCAAATGCTTTGTACCTAATGACTTTCATGATTATATTGCTGCCCATTTGATCTCAAACCGTTCATAATTCTACAAAAATGAATTTAAAATTAATACCTATTTTCTCAATAGCATCTGATTATCAGAATAACAGCACAAAAACCAAAAACTGTTCAACACTGATTGATATTCAAAGCTAAACTGACAGTCAAGATTTTTGTTTGTGTCTTAATAATTTCTGACAGATATTCTATTTAAAAAAAAACCTCAAAATCTCTGAAAACAGGGTTACTAAGTATAGGTTAAAGTTCATGAGTATGTATTTACAAAGTTAAATGACAGTCGCTCGACCAATTTCATTTTATAAATATGTACTAATAAACTTTAACCAGCTTAGTATTTTAAATTATTTTTATAAACAGTTGATTAACTAGACTTATTAACAGTTTGCTGATTTACCAAAGTAAATGTGTTATGATTCATTTAAAATACTGCAATCCTATTGGACAAAAAAAATTATTTTAAACACTCATTCCTTTTAAAATAATGAAAGATATACAATTAGCTTTGGAATTATTATCTAAACAGCTTTAAAATTATATTCTTTTCTGTACTGAACACTACATGATGCTCTTTAAAAAGTGTATTTGAATTAATTCATTAACTACAATCACGTTTGTTGCATGAATATGCAACTATCATACTATGTTTAATAAAGGGGCATAATGTTAACCCTGATTAAACCCACTGACTTTGTGTAATGAATTCCCCCTGCTTTGAATTTAGAATAGTCCATTTTAAGCTCAAAGGATTTTAATATCAAAATCAACAGTATAGAACCTAGTCAGGATGCACAGAAGTTGCAGATTTTGTATACTGGTGGCAAAGGCTTATCACTTTTGCTTTTTGTTATCACAGCTTAAAAATGAGGACAATATTAAGGTACTTTGACCATTAACCCTTTATTTCAAACCTCACATTCCAGTAATATATTTATTCATTATAAATGTATAATGAAATAAGTTATAACAATGTCCTTTACTACCCATTTGTGATATATGGATTTCATTTTCTTATGTAAAACATTATAGCATCTCATGGATTATATGGAATACCATCTTCTTATGTCAAACATTATAGCACCTAAATGGGTTATATGAAATGCGTTATATGGAATTACCATTTCCTATCTCAAACATTATTGCAACTTATTTGGTTATATGGAATTAATATTTCCTATGTCAAAAATTATAGCATCTAATTGGGTTATATGGAATTTCAGTGCTTTATGTCAAACATTGTTGCAACTAATTGGGTTATATGGAGTTTCACTTTCTTATGTCAAACAATATCATATGTAAATGGATTATATGGAATTTCATTTTCTTATGTCAAACATTTTTAAGCACTTATATAGGTTATATGGAATTTCATTTTCTTATGTCAACTATTTTATATAGCACCTATATGGTTTATATGGAATTTCTATTTCTATGTCAAACATCACAGCACCTTAATTGGTTATATGGATTTTAAGTCAAACATTATAGCACCCACAATTTGTATGGATTACAATTATATGAAATTTAAATTTCTTATGTCAAATATTTAAGCACTTAAATAAAAGATATAAGTTGAATATTCTTCTTATACAAATGCCAGAGATAATTTATTCAACATTTGGCTTGTCTTGATTTTACATGTAGGGCAATGGCCAGAAGTAAGTTTAATTAATGAGATGAGTCAGTTATTTAACGTCATAAAACAAATGGTGTGCCCTCCTTCTAAGAGAAAACAGTTTTCTAGTTTAATATACGCAGATACTGACATTTTATTTTTTTTGCGTAGGTTGAGATGAACGTATATCTCAAACAACAAATGTCAAGAGTCAACAACCTGCTTAAAACGTGCAAATTTAGATGCAGACTAGACAAGACGTGCTCATAAGACACTTGCTACTGCAAAAGAAACTTTAAAGTCGGAAATGTAAGCCTTATCTGTTTTTCTTAGTTACTTACGTCATGGCGATGTGCAGGTACCCTTATGTGCATTATTTCAGGCAAGAATGGGCACCTGAGTAGAACCACACATATTCTGTAAGCTAGCTTGATAGCTTCCTAACATGAAAGAATCCAAAGTCCCCGTCATGATTCAAACCCATAGCGGTAAGGGGCAAGTGCTTTGATGTCAACAACCTTAACCACTCGGCCATGGATGCCTCTTGAACTTTTTTAAAGGTATTCATATTTAATAGAAAGAGCACCGAAACACGAGGCTATCTGATTTGTACAAGGGGGCGTAGCCCCCCCCCCCCCCCGAGTATAAATCAGATTGCCGAGTGTTTTGGTGTTCTTTCTCTTTTGTATCATAGTCAAACATAAAAGCACGTTCCCTGTTGTCACAATATGAAACCCCCGCAAAAGTGAACCAATGAACTAACATCTGAATATGACATTACTGTCGCTTTCCCTTTCTCTGCCGTCACAATATATAAACCCCAGCAAAAATGAGCCAATCAATGGGCATGCTCTGGAGTGCGGGTAACAAATACCCGCACTCCAGTTAACACGCTGTGCTTGTATATACATACGATTTAACCCTGACACATTTTCAACAGAAAGGTCTCCAAACTATGATACAAGTTAGTTTTAGAGCAATGTTACCATGTATTTTCACCAAATATGCAACACAGTATCAACTTATGGTAATCCTTTATATGACCCAATTCATTTTGAAATCCAATTAAACATGCAGAACTTATAAACTGGACACAAACCACGAGAGAATGTTTCAATGGACTTTATTAGTGAAAATAAAATTCAGAAACATTTTTATAACAATAATAGAAATTAAGTCGATGCCTAAGCAGAGCATGAAAAACAAACAAAAAAAGATGAAAAACAAATAAAAAGACAAAAAAGAACAAGAAGACATACAAAAAAAGAACGAAAGAAAACAAAACAAAAACACACACAAAATACAACCAAAAAACAGCAAAACAACAACAAAACAAAGAAAAACACACACGCTGTTTCTTTCTTCTTCTTGATCTCTGAAATTAAGGAAAACAAACTGAGTGCGCATGTAGTAACAAAGGGCTTGCTCTTAAGAAACGATCAGGGTAACTTATATAACATAACATATAGTTTATATAACTTATATATTTAATGTTGTATTTTTCAAGAGTGCTCAGAGTGTCCGCTACTGAATAAGTTTAAATATATGTGTCCCTTGATCTTACTTTGTTTATAATATTTATATTTAAAATAATGTTGCAGAAAGTATAACGCAGTGTCTTTACTTAAACATTTCAAAATATTTCAACATTGGATTTAATAGAAATAATTAATATATCTGAATCTTACCTTACACGCTTACAGGTGGAAGACCGTCATCAATGATGTCATATCCGGTTATGCCAAATGCTTCTGTGAAACAATAGAATATTTTTTTCATTCCATGAGTTCACTGAATCAATAACTTTTGTAAATTGCACTTATAAGTGTTATAAAGAGCATAATTTTATATTAAAATCATAGCCAGAGAGAAGTTTTTCACTTGGTCGATTCGACGCCTGTATTTTGTTTCATAATAATTATATGAAAATTGCGAAGTTATCTTTAACGATTAAACTAACTATTAAGAGGATATTTTTTCGGTTGAGTGAAATATGGAATATATTTTCATGAAACATGATAAAATGCCACATATTTTCACGAGCCGGTACGGCGAGTGAAAATATGTGGCATTTTATCATGTTGAGTGAAAATATATACCATATTTCACGAAAAACGAAAAAATAACCTTTTTATTTAATTTCATTATCAAAGAAAATGGTAACGAATCCCCTTGCTTGCTACCAACTGCAATTGTACAGCGCGCAGTAATTTATGCGTAAGCACGCGCTGCTTGGCGCAACATTGTGACGTCATGTAAACAACTCTTTAAACGTCTGTACAGCGTCAATTACTGAATAAAAGATATTGGCGTTCGGATTAATTTTCTTAGTTAGACCATTTTCTATCATTCTAGACAGTTTTCAAAACAAAATTCAAGAAAAAGTTGTTTTGTATTTATCAGATTTTTCAAAGAAAACGGCGAAAGAAGTCCGTTAAAATAAATATGAGTTTTGACTCCGCCCACTTTCATATTTATTTTTCATATTTATTTTTAAAAAATATGAAATATATTTGACTGATATAGCACCATATTTCATGGGTAAAATTAAATAATGGATCGATATTTGGCACAAAATATTAAAGAAACTCTATTGACTGAGGACCAAATGTCGGAAACTTTAACTTTGAATTTCTAACAAAAGTCAACTTTGATACTTAAAACAATAAGACATGCAAAAGATTTTTAAGAAATATACCGAGACATAAATTAAAGATCGTATTTTTGTATTTTCTTAGCCCAATTTAAGTGCAATGCTTTTCAATTTTTTGGTCATTTTTCAAGAGGTAGAATAATTATTCTGGAAAAATGGAGCGTGCGAATGATGTGAATTTTTGCACTAAATTATTGGTCTACGCCTACATCAAAATGACATTTATCTGGAAAAAAATATTCCCAGCCATTCCATGTCAAAAAAAAACTCAGTGGAGTCCTTTTTAACAAAATTCTTACCTTTGAATTCCTTGATAGTTCTAGGAGCTCTAATAGCAGAGTGGTTAATGTCGGCATCCATCACAATATTTGACAGGCTCTCCGTAACAGCCATATCAGCAATTTCTGTCAAAAAAATAAGTATGTTATGTACACTCAAAAGTATCATACTCAGAATAGAAACAAAAATTACCTTTACAAAAGACAATAGTTCGTGATTAAAGCCGCCGTACCTGTGTCGTGGACTTAGTTATGGTAATTTTTGCGCAAAAATATAGCCACTGCATTGAGCTGGCTGTGCAGTCAAATTTAAAAATGTGATAACTAGGAACATTTTCCACGCTCTTCCTACTACGGGCTTTGTTAAAATTGACTTATGTATCAACCAAATGACTTACGGCTGATGATACTGGAGGACAATGATATGTTGTCGTCTGCTGGCCTCACTGTAACGATCTTTGTGTTACTAGGCAACTCCTGTCTCAAAGTGTCGGCTGCCTTGTCTATGATGTATGTCACGTATTCTGTAACTAAAACAATATTTTTGATTCAATTATATACGCTTATTTAATGTAATTCAGACATATTGTCAAATAATATATAAACTTAAAGGCACATTATGTCTCAGAAATGAATACATAATTTCTTTTTTTTTACAAAAAATAACGCCAAAACACATGATTATATAATATTGGATCTTAAGCAGGTTAGATGTTTAACAAAGACAGACAGTATTATGGGGGTGAAATAATGAAAACAAAGTGGAATTTAGATTTCCTAACAAAATACTAAATTGGTTGTAATATACTTATAGTCAAATTGCAAGATGCAATGAATGATTCAGCTATATGCCAAATTAGAACTTTTTATCAGTATGATTTTGAATGTGACGACAAAGTTTTAATTAAAGTACATGTACATACATTCTATTTCGATAATGAATGCAACATTAAAAAAATGTTTTGTGAGCTATATAGACTATATTGTCGCTTTTATAAGTTAAAATCGACTTTTTCAAAGCAGATACCAAATACATGCAATTTTTAAAGATTTTTTATTGGGGTGGGGGGAGGTTGATTTTTAGATATAAAGACAAGTAATGAAATTGTAAAAATAATTGTAACAAAAATTATTAATAAAATATATGACTGTTTTTACCAAGTCTGTCGTCTGCTATGGTCTTGTCGTCTGCTGTGGTCTCTGTCACTGTTGCATTTTCTGTATCAACAGCATCGTCTGGAAAACGAAGATTTAAAGATTTGTACACTATTAAAGTTATTCCGTTGCTTCTTTTTAATTCGTATATGAATATTATTACCTAAATCAAAGAAAGAATTGCGCAAATGATCCTTACACTAATCTTCGGTATTTATAATATCTAATATAGGTTTTTGAAGTTCCAGTATTAGGTTAAAATAAATTGTTTATTTTTGGACTTATTATTGCCATTTTTGTTCTTTTTAAACTGCCTTTCTTGTACACATGTAGGCTGATTCATACAGGACCAAGTGCTTCCATTTCTTGTCAAAAAAATATTACAGTTACTGCACTAAATTTGTGAAAGCATTGCAGTGGTAATTCGTTTAGAAAACATATATATACAAGCAAATAACTGTACCATTCTTTTGAGGAACGACTTTGTTTGACTTGCTGGCAATCTTTCCGACGACCATGTCGGCAGTACCTGTTTCATTTAACAGGGTTTCTGGGTCAAGAGTCTTGCCTCTTCTTGCATAGTATCTTTGGCGCAAGCGGTTTCGAAATCTTGCAAACTGTAAGAGACAAAATTCCTGCCAGTAAAATCATGTTGATATCTTAAATGGACTGGTATATCGTTCACTTTTGACCGACTGAATAACGAACAGTTAAGAGGATGTGCCGACTAATCTTGGCCTGCAATGATCGCATGGATAAATTTTGTAACCGCAAGCAGTTCAGTATCTGACAAGATGTATTTTCAAATTAAAGAAAAACTCATATTTCTGAAACAATTTTTTCTCTTAGAAATAAACATAATGCTTATATCACTGCTTATGTATGGATCTTTAAGAATCACTAAAATCTTAGTATACTTTTCAATTATTTTTACATCATTCATTATTTTTTTTATCTTTTTATCATTTCGTCATCATTATTTTAACATTATTATAGCCATATATTGTGCCTGATTTATTATAATTTTATGAAAATTTAAAAATGTATTTAAAAATAAAATATTGTGAAGGGAACAAAGCAAGTAATCCGCACATCGCAAACGCAACGGCATTTGCAACCCACGTAAATTATCTAAAAGAGGTGAAAATATGCAAACAAAATAGCCCTTACTGCGTAAGTCACACAGTAGAAATATGGTGATATATACTGTAAATCAGTTATTTATTGCACATAACTTGAATCTTGAGCCTTTTAACTTAAAAAAAAAATGAATCTTGCTATTTATTTTTTTCTCAAAATTAGTTTTCTTGAAATATTTCGGCTCATCTGGAGGCATACAAATTTAAATTTACCAAATTTACTAAATTATGCACAAAATTCTAATTTGATCATCATAATTGAATGTTTCAATTCTATAATTCTACTCACCCTTTCGTTGCAAGATTTCTTGAAACTTATTAGCCAAAAACAACAGCCTGGATTTTCACTAGCCATTAATCCATTTATTTACCATTTATTAACAGCTTGTGTAATTTTCCGGACGCAATATGACGTTGCTAATGAGAAACGCCAACTTCTTCTGTGACGTCACAACGCTGCGTGTTAATGTCAACCCTCACCGAATAGACGTTAGTAACGGGAGCCATTTAAACATTCGGAACACCTCGGGCGACTACGCTAAGTAAAGCTGAGTTGTAACGATTGTTTTGGGGTTGTTTTTTTTTATTATTATTTAAATGAGACCGATGACAAGTTACAGTTTTTTAATTGTTTTCATATTCGAAGTTTGACGAAAAGATGCGAAATGTAGCGAAACTTCGACGGATCAAGGCCAATTTCATATTTTAGGATCATGCAACAGAGCCTTTATTTTTTAATGATCTAATGGCATCAATACGTGATATTAAAATATAAAACATCGCTATTTTAGTAGTTTGCAATTAAATCAGATTATGAATTTCATTCAAATAAGAAGAAAAAAACGCAAAAATAAAGTTACTGTAACGTTTTAATGTTCTGCTGAATTACCTGATGTCTTGTCGAGAGAAAAAAACAATTATATCAAGCAGCCAGTCTAAACATGTTCACATATTTAATGCCTTAAAATGAATTGGTCCATAATGGTGGGTAATCATGTTGTTAGTTTCATACATGGCAACTAACCAGGAAATAATTATATATGAATGTTGTTTATAAGTGAGAGATGTATGGCCCGAGACTAAATAAAAATATATTGCAGATAATTAATTCTTCCAGTACAAAATATTATTATCAAACATATAATTGTTCATTCATTGCCTGCTAGCATAATCAAAATTGATGCTAAGCAGTATCATGCAGATACATACACATGTAGTCTAAATTACTTAGAACTATATCAAATTATTTTTTCAAAGCAATATTCTATTAGAGTATCCAAATGAAACATTTATATCCTTTTATTTATATTTAAAAGGACATTATGCCCATCCAAGGGTGTAAGTGAGTGAACAGGTGAATATCAAAATAAATTTTCATTTTACCATAATTCCTTTAAATTCAATAATTTACTTCCCATGAACAATATAAAGTCAATTCAGCTCAACTTGACTATGAAAATATGAGCATAATGTCACTTTAAATATGCACCCGTTGTAGACCAATTCTAACCTCAGAAAACTTGAATTTTTAGCTTGAAAAATACAATTGGTCCTAAACCGTTACACTGTGTTTTGTTTACTGGTCGAATATGCTATATTTTATAACACTGATAATTAAGAAAACATAAATATAACTGTGCTCCGTTTTAGAACTAAGTACGAGACAATGGGCCTTTTTTCACAAATACCTAAACTATCATTGGTATGGATCCTTCCGACGTGATTATATATTTACTAGTTCCGTTACACCCTACCTTGAGAAAAGCCGAGGTGATGTGGGGGATGAGGTGTTGGGGGACGGGGTGGGGTATGAGTTTACTCACCATTATCTCTCATGAACAGAATCGATTAAACAGTCTGCGATTTTTTTCTAGAATCTTATACTCGCAACATTAGGTGTAACATGTTGAGTAACAACTGCATGTAAACAATTGCCCCCGTACTTCACCAACATGTTGTTACATAACTTTTTCTGATCCTTCGGAATTATTATAGTACTCTTTGTGTAGAAGATTGCATACCGCTCAGGGCGATAAAAAGGGGGTCGGGGAATGAAAGATGTTGCTCATACCATTATAATCATCTCTCATATTATACAGACTTTGTAGAACCGACTCTGAGATTTTCAACTGTTTTTCAGCTGTGATTTTCAGCTGTTTTTTTCAGCTGTGATTTTGTTTTCACTGTCACCTTTCCTGATTTTTCATTAAATGGTATTTATATAATATTTTAATAATGTCAAAATCATCTGTAGAATACGAATTCAGCAACACGATTCGCCCGTGTTATAAGGCAGTCTTCGTTAGAGAGACAGTAACGTTATCCTATAACTATGCAAAATTATTGATGCCTGATATAGAGTTAACAATTTTAAAATATCACTGTAACTCTTTCTTCCACTATATTATGAACAAATCTGTATCACCACTATATTATGAACAAATCTGTATCACTTTCGGCACAAAAGGGAGGACAGGCATACGGGGGCCGCCATTTCATCGTGTGACTAAAAGTAGTTCCAATTTTTAACCTTTTTATGTCAGAAGTCTATTGCAAAGCACAAATGCCGATAGGACAAGATTGCAGATTTTCAGTGAATTATATCGTCATAAACCAGTCATCTCCTATGTCTGCTGAAAACGACACAATAACAAGTTTAACAGCGACCTATCGGGGGAATTACAATTACATACAACTACATACGTATATGTTCCATAAATACTTTAATATCATCTCATCTGTAAATATATATACATGCATATTTCGTATAACAAAGAAAAATACGAATATTCTTTAACAAGATATTGTGGCAGGTATAACTGTTCGGCAAAATGTAATTAACGTCTTAGCTTCGTGGTGGCCTATTATTAGATGGAACGAGGAACCTAAAAATAGGACTATATTTAAATAACAAAAATGCCAAGATGATTATTTATTTTTGCCAAGTAAGAGATGCTCCCATATTTAAAACATGTAACTTTACCTGTATGGTAAAAAAATCTATTAAGTTTTCAATTATTCATGTTATGCAGGAGAAGTCCACGACGAAAGGGATTTAAGCGCTCTTTGCTGACGTCGCCTAAAGTAGCAAAGCGTTTTGATTTTTTTTTAATGCCGCAGTTTAAATTAGAGGCATTCACATGACAAATATTTAGAATGTGTTCAAATAAATTGTTGATGTTAAACGATAGGTAGCAGAAATTCAGTCAATTTGAATCAGATAAAAATGAAAAGACACATTGGTATCACTGCTGTTAGTTGCTCCATACCTGTCAAGTGCTGGAGCTCATATAAAATAATGGGGGAGGGGTCTATATAACATAGTATGGTGATTTACTTGAAAACTAGTATTTAAATATTAATAGCAAATATCTAGACCAACATTATACATATACATTATCCAGACCATATATTATCACCGTTAACTTAATATTACATAAAATGAAAAACAATATTGATTGAAAAAGGAAATTTTTAGCAAATGTCCGGACCAACATTATACATATATATTATCATCATGAACTGAATATTACATGAAATGAAAAAATATTGATTGAAAAGTGAAATACTGGAGTACTACATGTCGCACTGGTATTCAGGGAGCGTAGGTCCAATGATTAACATGACAACTGCTCAAACCAGGGATCGTGGGTTCGAGCCTTACCCGAAACAGGACCATGTTACCTCGTATGACACGGGCACTGGTTAGTTTTAGGAAGAGCGACTCGGACGTGAATAATTACATACAAAATGTGTAGTTTTTTTCTAAACTGAGAAGGGGCCTTGGCCTTTTTTATTTTTCGTGACATTGTGAAGTTTCAACTTTACTTTTCCTAATAATTGTGATAGAACAAGCATAATATTGACAAAATTTGTGAAAGTCAATTTAAAACGCATTTTTCATTGATAAAAATGGCGGGAAAACCTGTTATAGCTTGACAGGACTTGTTTTACATTTTAGTTAAAAAATATAAATATGATTAAACTCTTAACATAGGTATTCAAAAGTGCTCAAAGTCGCATCTCTGCTCCCGAAACAAATGACATTTAACGGCCGGAAAAAATAAACTTACGAAGGAAATGAAAGCTTCACGTATTTCATATTAACACATTAGGCCATCTTCCGTCAGCAAGTAGCACATTTGTCAACATGTGAATTTATAGGTTTATATAAGAATCAAAATACGCTGTATAAAAATACAAGTACATGAGCAATGTTAAAAATCATAAAGGTCGCCGAATTTGATCATATGAGAGGTCATTTTCTGGTGAAAAATAGCTTGAAAGTATTACTATAACCTAAAATACCTGCAGAAAATATTACGCCATTCAAACGATGACTGTTTCTTTCTTAACAGTACTTTAAGCTCCCAGTTATAAAACTATCAATTCAAATTTAGATCAGACTTTATTGGGTCACTAAGAAAGAAACAAAACTAATTAGGCCTAATATTCAACACAAACTTTTTTTTCTTAAATAAGCTGGACAATTCAGCTTTCTTCACAACAAAACGGCGGGAATGAAATCAATTTAATATAACTGTCTAGAATGAGTCTTGATGCGTTGCTAAGCAATACTAGCTTCCGGTTGTTATACCAAGTTCTTCTAGGAAGCTCTTAGGCTCGTCGGTTTCCTGAAGTAAGAAAATAAAATCATTTATAAGTATGACAATTATCGTTCACGTTTTATAACGCAAAACAAAATACATTGTAAACTAATACATTTCCCTCCATGCAAATGTTTTTTATCTTAACCCTAATCCCGCTAAATTATCTAAAATTGACTTGTCACTCTTTCAATCTGGACAAAACCATAAATGAATTTTAGGGCAAAATTTCGAAAAATTAACTGACTGAAGAACGAAGACCATTAGACGCCAGGGTTTGCGGGCTGATTTTAGTCTGTACAGAATATCATTTGCTGCAATCAGACTCAGGATTAAAATAGCTTAACTGCAGTCTTTTTCTAGAACTATGTACTGTAAGATCGCACAATATTCTGAAATATTACTTCGTTAATAAAAAGATTCTGGTATCTTTGCGATACATTGTGACCAACTTACAGTATAAGTATACATACTTGGTAAAGTAGAGATTTTTCATTGTCAAAGTTCGTTATTTAAAACATTGTACTTAGACCTATGCTGAATCCCTAATTTCGATCTAATTGAAACGGACAGAATAATTTAGCAGAAAATCAATATAATGTACTGAGTCAAAATACCTTGCCAAACATTATGAAACGAAACTTGACAACATAATGTATGAACTGATGATTTACGTATAAAAAACGTCAAATATTCTACTTACATACATTCATTTTTTCAATCTCAGACTGATTTTCTAGAATAAAAATACCTTCCCTTCAGGGGTAAATGTATTGAATTCCAACACATTTGAGCTAGCTGTTTTTCGGAAACTTATAAAATTTCTTATAATATTTAATGATCTCCTACAGTGTCACATTTATTTATTTATTTATTTGTCGCCAACTTTATACCATTTTAATACTGAATCGTGTTTATTACATACATGAACTTAGAAATGAAATATTGAGAAATATTGATGAAATAAAATACTTATTTTCCTTTTTCATATTTTCATTGTAAAAAAGTTATTTTTCACTGCACTGAACATATTTTCTGTATATTTCTTGCCGGACTTCTTTCTTCTTAATTCAGCCAATACACAAAATTAAAAGTATATAATAAACTGAAAATTGAAGTTCTTTTCTATAAATACAAGATTATTTTCATCTTGGGATTTGAAAGTTACCATATTTCACTCGTGGCGTATTATATTTATTTTCATACCACTCGATGAAAAAAAAATCCTGTATTTGAAGAAAAAAAAATATTTTCCTTTTCCGTATTTTCACTGTAAGAAATTGTCTTTCACTGCTGTAAAACATTTTCCGTATTTTCACTGGTCACTTGCCGGACTATTTTTTTAAATTCAGATATTACAAAAAATAAAGGGAAAAGAAGTATTATAATAAACAGAAAATTCAAGTTTTTCTATAAATATAGGATTTATTTTCATCTTGTGATATGAAAATAATTATATTTCGCCATTGTCCTTTGTAGTTTATGCGGGAAAATGTACAAGCTTGAACTTGTTCCGGGCCGCAAAGAAACGTAAGGAAATGTATTTATTCATAGTGGAACGTGTATATTCTATTTTATTTAGTAGTCACGTAAATCTAAGTTGCTTTAAAATGGCTGGCATTTGAGCAACAGTATAGTAACGTTAAACAAGAGGAGCACCGCGTGTCACAGTATTATGCGCCTTAAGTGTTTGCTGTTGACATAGTCAACTGAAAACAATTGATCAGACAATGATTATACAGTGACCTTGACATAATGACCTAAGAGACAATCATTGGTCATCAACTTGCCATTGGTAATGTCCCGACCAAATTCCACAAACGGTGCAATGGCTTATTCCGAACAACAATTTTACCTTGTAGCCTATGTGCTCAAAATAAATATGAGTCATTCTATTGGACATGGGTAATGTTCCTACAAAGTTTTAAAAGCCTGGCAGTCTCAAGGAATTTTTCACTAATTGTCAGTGTGACTTTAACATTTGACCTCATGATCAGAAGAAGTGGAAATAGTTTCCATAAAACTTTTCCCATGGAAATTCCGTGCTAAATTTCACAAACAAGGTTCATTCATCTCAGTAAACAGATTTTACTCTAAGTTTAAGTTGGCCTTTCACTTTGCCCCACTGTAGGGTCATAAACTGCGTGACCATCGCCCTTCAAAAGTGTTAAGTTACCGAGTGGAAAACAATGTAACTAATCAACAGACGTACGGACAAGCGATAAATGACAATGGTTAGAAGAAATTTCTTAAATACAAGTCAACCTGCCCATGCCAAATTAACCTATTGGTCGATTAAAGGGAAGTAACTGCCAGTGCAAACTCAATGTTAATTACTGCTGTATATTATATTAATCAAAATAACATTCAGTCTTTTCCAAGTTTAATATGATTAGCACAATATATAGAACAATACGTGTAATACAAAAACCGTTATACCAAGTTTGAAAAGAATAATATCACGGTTTCTCAAAGTAAAATAATGAAAGAATACATTTATACTGTTAAATTATTATAGATGTTAACAAAAAAAATTACATCGTCTTTATGATATAGATATGAAACAATTAACTTTAAAGCACACAAGTGATATATAGCGCGACACATCTTAACTAAAATTTGTTCAAAAAAATTAAAATTGCCTTTTTCTCTTAGAAACAACAAATGAATTCCGATTTATTCCTGCAAAAAAGTACATAAATACAAACAAGCATAACACACTTTATCTCTCAGAAACGTTTTTCGTTCTTATGCACAAGTGTCCAAATAAATATAACCCCCACACGAATAAAGTCTACATAACACCAGATTATTAGTTCTTTAATGTACATCACATTATGCTCTACTGCTAAGCTGAAAGGATTTGTTTTTGTTTTTTGTTTTTTTTTTGCAAGCCAGTGTTAGTAGGGTGGGTGGGGTAACAATCCAACATGCACAATCTTCAGCCAAGACCATGGTCTTCAAAAAAGCCTTGTGGTGTCTCCTCCTGTAAACAAAAGACATGGCCATTCAAATATGTGGTTACAGTTGTTATTCCTAGCCATAACATTCCCTTATACCTGCTATATAGAAACTAAAATAAGATATGGCAAAATGATAATTGCTCAAAGTATCATAACTTAACATGCATTTATCATGCCTAAGCTATATGTTTCAATGCATAGCCCTATAACATGCTAGATTGTGGAAAGTAGTACTTTAAGAAAGTCATGGTATATCATAAAGAAATGTACTTTAAAATAGTAAGCATAAGAAAAACACCCACGGTATATCAAAAAAGTTAGCAAAATGTAAGGAAGGTTAAAATTGTCATAGATTGCTGTAAAAATGGAATAAATTGTTGCTTTAGTGGGTAACTCCTTATACAATTTTACAGGAGCTAATTGTTTACTGCACTAATGTGTTTGTAAAAATGTTTGTAATCTTATTTGAAACCAAAAATTTAACCAGCTTGGTGGAAACTATTAAGATGGCAATAGATTCGTGTCTATAAAAACACTGGTTAAGTTGATTTTTGTTTACAAAGAACGCGAATTGCTTGAAAGAAATTTGTGTCTTAAAACAATGGAATAGTATGCTTTGCGTATAATGTGTATATCTAACTGTTTGATATAAGGAAATGGGTTTCTCAAAACGCATCTTAAATATTGACTGGTTAAAGCCATGTATTTCTTATCTTGGAAGGTTAGGGACACAAACATTTGTAAGTTGGTTGACTTTCATCATATATCTAAATCCAAGAAGTACTTTATGTAAAGCGGCAGTAAATATTTTAAAATTGTATTGAGTCATCGTGACGTACAGTTTTGTACAATCCTATTTTTTAATGAAAAGTTCTCTGACTTTCAAATTAACATATAATATTATCTGTTTTCGATTAGTACATTTTACATATGTGTGACTGTTTCAATTGAAATTTGTGAACATGTTAAATGTAATTTTCGTGATAATTGACGTCATTCGAGTTTTGGTTTACAATTTATCAACAGAAATGTGAGATAAGTTTTGATTAAACCTAAGCGCCAAATTAGGTTAACTTTTCGAAAATTGTCTGTGGTATTATTTATTACTTTTTTGATTTACTTATTGAGACTTTTTTATCTCCAGATTTCAAATCTGGGTTCCCCCAACCTATCTGTTCTGAGGTACACACTTAACTGAACCTTCTAAATATGAATGAACAGATATCACATTATTAAGTGGGTGATCTGTTTTCAAATTAAAGGAACCACTTGCCGATTTTTCAAGATAACATCTATGATAAAATTAAGAAAATAATTATTATTCTGAAACATTCACATGAGCAGTTTTTAGATTCTATAATAACATTTTTATTGATATTAAAAATGTACTTTTTTATAAAGTCACATTTTATTTGACTGACTATTTCAATTTCATCTCTCATTTTTAACCATATACTTAGAGATATATACAATGTGCTGTTTCCAAAGCAAGTTTCAGATCATAAAATATTTTATGATTGAGCATCCTGATTTTTATAATGCAATAAAAGATTACATGAACTTTCACAAATATCTGACCATGCATAATGCTGTCCGGGAAAAAAACATTATTCTGAATCTTTTTTTAAAATAATTACACTGAGTAGAACACATGTGCTTGAAAACATAGTAGCAATGAAACAACTTTAAATACAAAATTCATGAAGATCAAGATAGACAGGGAAAGATTAAAAATCAATTTGGAAAACATGCTTTTGTTTAAAGAGGAACTGATTTAAAAAGGATAGGAAGTTCATGCATGTGATTAAAAGTAACCAATCTGATAAATTAAGTGATTGGTTGGTTTTTAACGGAAGTTAATGTAGGTGATTAAAAATAATAGTTCTGATTGGTTGGTTTTTAATCAGGAGTTTATGCAGGTGATTCAAAGTAACAATTCTGATTGGTTCGGATTGGTTGGTTTACACCGGAAGTTTATTCAGGGGGTTCAAAGTAATGATTCTGATTGGTTGGTTTTCATCGGAGGTTATTCAGAAGTTTCAAAGTACAATCTTGATTGGTTGGTTTCAATTGGTGGTTTATGCAGGTAATTCAAATTAACGATTCTAATTTGTTGGATTGCAAAAAAAGTTTACATGGTTATTCGAATTAAGAATTATTAGTGTTTCGTTTTCATCGGAGGTTTATGCAAGTTATTCAAGGGAACAATTATAACGGTATGGTTTCAATGCAGGATTATATAGGTGATTCAAAGTAAAGATTCTGATTGGTTGGTTATCACCACGATTCCATGTAGGAGAGTAACAAATCTTATTAGTCAGTAATTTCACCGGAAATTCATGCAGGTAATTCGAAGTAACAATTCTGATTGGTTGGTTTTTACCGTTATTTATATGCCATCGTATATCTGGCGTCTAAACAAATCATGCTGAAAATCAAACATTTTACTCTCGATTACGTTATGTAATTACTTGTCAAGACAGGCATTATAAAAAGCTGGTCTAATACAAGCATTTTCATTGTCCATGCTATCAAATAATAAGCATTGCAGGAACTTGTAGAATCCTTCCACTTTTATTTGTGTAATGGACATCTAGAATAGGTTTTATTGGAAATACTTAAGAAAATCATAATCAACACAAAGCCGTCAATTAAAGAGGGTCAGGTAAATATTGGCATGGAAGTGGCAACAGTAGCAAGCTGTTCTGGGCTCTAAACTGGTGTTATACAATACATCTGTTCTTTCTTTTGTTTTTAAAACGTTAACCCTTAACCTGCTAGACCCCGATATTAAACACCCTTTGCCACCTGTACAGCAGGCCAGGCCTGCAAGGTTCTATACTACTGGTAGCTCAATGTTTTCATTTTGATTTTGAAATCCCTTAAACTTTGAATGGACTGTTCCAAATTCAAAGCTAGGCAAATCCGTAATATATAAATTCTGCAATTTAAGGGTTAAGCACTTAATATGTTTTGTTCTTCAAAGTTTTAAACCAAAAGCACCGCGAAGTTGAGGTAATATACGCATACTGTAAATTTCTTTGAGTAAGCAAAAATAATCTTTCAATTAGGGTAGAGATCCAATCAAACTTGTCTAAAAAATGTTGTATCTTAATTATCCTTATAATACTATACGACCATCAAGATGGAGGCATTTTTTCTACACTAAGTATGTGCATGATCCATGCAACTTTTATAGAGGTCTACTAGGCAATGCTTTGCGCCAAATAAAAAGGCATAGTAAAATGCGTTTTCATATACCTAAGTCTTTCAGGTGTAAGACACAATAATAATGGACCATCTTAAACACCAAAACTTTATAAATGCTTTTACAATTGTATGTCTCTGGCTGCAAAAGTGATTGTGCAACTCCTGATGCATTTAACAGTATCCCTAAAAATAAGTTACTTACTTTGCAATGTATCTGTCTAAACTGTTTTCAATTTTCCCTAGCTTAATTCAATTTATTTTTCATCTACTTATCACAACCAACAGTTTAGAGAAAGTATATCTATCTTTACATGGTTTTACTATTTGCTTATAAAAATTATTATGCAAATGAATTGAAATACATGCCTGTATTTTAAAATGTTTCTAAATTAGGAAGTATCCAGAATAACTCTGAAATATATTTTCTAACAGCAAAAGTAAGAAATGACAAAGATTATGTGTGTAGAAAAGTAGCATTAAATACAACTCAAACATCAACAGTCTTCTGGATGCAATTACAAACGGAGTAACAAGAGACCATTTGTCAAAAGAATATAAACAGATATAGAATATCATACAAATATATACCTAATTGTGAGAAACGGAATTAACTAACCTAATATAAGTCATTTCAATATATAAAGCATTCAAATAAATGAAGAAAATAAAAGAGCATTTTTCAGTAAGAAAATAAGGGAAAATGTTCATCCTATCTTTACATGAAAAGGTAGGAATAATCATTGGTATGGTATAATAAATGTACATTCATGATCAATATAAATAACTGCACCTTTGTCACCTCGATTTTCATTGGACAATTGTGACTTGTTCCTATAAATTTAGTATGTTGCAAATTAATCAATTATTTTAAATCCTAATCAAAAACAGCAATTGACTAGTACACTATAATATGTATAAATTTTCCTATTAAAACAATGTTGCTTATTTATTATTATGGGCAGTAATTAAACATAAGTCTAATAATAATCAGCTCTTCAAAAACTGGTTTAACTACATAATCATGTTTAGCTTTTTTAATTCATAAACAAAAAAAAAATACTCATAATATACAAAGTAATGAAAAAGCAATCGGCAAAGCCTGCTTGTCTACATTTTCAAGCAGGGCAGATAACCTAGCTCTATCTTATATGTATACACTGCATGAAAGAGATATTGTTACCAACCAAATTTCGTTTTAAGCTTTCTTAAATTCAGAAAGAAATTCTAACCCCCCTCCCTTCGATCATTTTGACTACTGTTCTGCAATCAAGACAACTTGACTGGCTCTCCCGCTCTCCCTGTTCAGGTAAAATAAAATGAACACTTTCAAAGAATTAAATATGTGAAAAAAATAGTACCCACTAAAGGTAAAACATCCCAAAGTCAGCACCTTAAGCCACTGCTAAGTCAGACCATACTCTGTAAGAGCAGTTTCTAAAGCTTCTTCCTTTAAAATAAATAAAGCAAAAAAACCTCTTACAGTCCACACAAAACTGATGATCGTGTCATTCAACTTCAGCAAACCTCTTACAGAGTAACCCCTTTGTAGAGCAATTACCTCAAAAAAACAATAAAAAAATGTTGTACCAAGGCTTGTAAAAATAACAAATCTTAAGAAATTTCTCCTGCTCTAAACCCAAATCTCTCAGTTACAAACAAAATATTTGTTTCCAAAGGTGTTGCAGGTTACTGAATTTTCCAGATCCCTTTATTCTATGTCTGCTAAGGTTTTGAACCAAAAAAAAAAACCATTGTAACTTATTTTGACATTGGAATAGTGTACAAATACGATTATCAGAGTATTTTTCAGTTTCAATCAAGTTTTCTATTTCTCCAACTACCTAGCTTAAAACATACAAAAATTATTTAATCTAATCTATTTTTTACCCATTAATCTTACTCAGGATTTGAAGAAAACAATTTTGATCTATACAAAGTTTACAAGTGAGCCTACTGTACAAGTAGTACATACATGTGTATATCTCAACACTGGTAAAGTCATTCTTTTATTGTACATCTTTATGAGTATGGCCAAAAAAGTTTTAAAATAATGAGGACATTTGGATCCTGTATATGTGAGTAGGCAGGTTTTAAAATCAATATTTTTGAATTTTTTTATTATTGTTATGTCGATGATTGTTTTAGTTGCCTTTATGTAAAATTTCCTATTTGTATTTTGTATTTCCCTATACCATGTTTTCCTTGTAAATGCCTCTTTAAATTACAGTTAATTAATGACCTCATCAAGTGACCTTTAGCAAAAACGGTCTTAAAATATGATGCCCTGTCTCTGGAAACTTGTAGAAATAAAAGATTAAAATAACAACTTCAAAATGATGACAATAAACTCAAAACAACAAATAACTCAAAATGACACCACAAAATACAATAATCCCAAAATGATAATAAACTTAAAGAGACAATTTAAAATTACAATTAACTCATAAGGATAATCAACTCAAAGTGACAATTTTAAATGACAATTAACTAAAAAAATTTAATTACAACTTAATGACAATTAACTAAAATGACAATAAACCCTAAATGACAATTTAGAATGACAAAAAAAGCTCAAAATGACAACTTAAAATGACATAAACTCAAAATGGACAATTTAGAATGACAAAAAACCTCAAATGACAACTTAAAATGACAATAAACTCAAAATGACAATTTTAAATGACTTTTAACTGAAATGCCACTTTGAAATTACATTAAACTCAAAACAAGAGCTGTTGTTCATAAGACAGCCTGCTTGACTAATCTCAGTATTTGACAGTAAAAAAGGGGCATAACTATGTAAATAGGGGACTCAGAGTTATGTGACAGTGTCAATCATGTTAGATAATCACAGAAAACAACTAATGTGTGAAATTTCAACCCATTCATTCAATTGTTTGGTGATACAACTGGATGCCCACCCTTGACCCAATGGAATTTGAAGCTTGGCTACAATGCGGATGAGTACCCAAATGGCCTTTCTTTCCGTGTAGTTAATAATGAAACTTAAATGACAAACTAAATTGACAAATCATAACTAATGCTATCATATTAAATTATAAATACTGTGAAAATGCAAGTTTTATGATCTGATTATCCATGCCAAAAACACAAACATCTAGTAATACTTCAGGGATAATTAAGATATCTAATTGTCTTATTCAAATGCTTTGCTTTAATCCACTGAAACCAAAATTTTAACTCAACAGGGGGTACCCCCTAACACAGAAACCATTCTTAAGTGAAATAAAAATTGTCAATTTAATCAAAACAAGCTTTAAATTAGAAATAAGTCTTATTTCACAACATACAACCCATATCTAATTACAAACAATATTCAGAACTTCATTTTTCAATGTCGATTTCATCCCCATGCTCTGGCAATGAGTACAGACAAATTATCAAACACAAGTTCATGTCACACGTCCATTAAGACTTCCATAATGATGATTAATACTTTAAATTTGTGACCTGAGTAAGCACCTCTTGTCAACATTACGTCAAATTTGGAAACATTTATAAAGAGTCGACAATCCCAAAGTTACACCAAACAAGAGAAAAAACATCAAACCCTGTGACCTTTTTCCTTCAAACAGATCATCTTTCAATAGTGCTTTCACCAGACAATACAGCCAATGCAATGTGCTTTAACTTAGAATGAAATAATTTTAATAAAAAAAAATTAAAATTATAAAGATTGTGTTTATTAAAAAATATAGCAAGGAAATTGGATTATAAAAATGCAAAAAGCTTCAATAAATTATTGTGTAAAAAAAATCCCCAAAAAATAACTTAACACATGCATTAAAACACACACTTATACAGACATATATACACAACACAAAATATATGCCTACATATATTATGATACTACAATTCATTTTAATTCATAAATCTATAGTTGATATTTTAAAGGGTAACAACCGTTTTTTCTAATTAAAAATTGTTTCATAAAAGTTTATTGCAGTAAAATCAATTTAGATTTTCATAATCTTATAATCATTTCTCAGAAAAAATTAATAACTGTATGTTTAACACAGATGTCTATTTAATAAAATGTTCTGTTACATTTCCCTTAAACAGGGGGCGCATTAAATGCAATAATCATCATTCAAACAATAAGAATGTTAACAGATTCTATGTTATTTTCAGCTGGATTATATATTAATACTGGAAGAAACAATAATGTTCAAATTTATGCTCATTTGATCAGACTCATAAACTACTATCCTCTTTGTTTTGTTTGTTTGTTTGGTTTTTACGGCACACCAACACAAAGTATATGTCACATGGCACCGAAACAGGGAAGATGATTTTTAATTAACATTGGCTAAGAGTGGGGGAAGGTTGTTTTTAGAGAAATACTGTATTTCAAATTTTAGACACTTTACACCATCAACCATCATATTTCACAAAATTAAATCCTAATAGAGGCTAAGAAGCTAGCTTTAGAAACTTCTCACAACATACATATGGGTCTGCTGTGCTTGGCTGCTGGCTTTATCTTGGGCATCTGTAAAAATCAATTCTACAGAGCTTCCATACCCAAACAATAACAAGTTTTTCATCAAATTGGATAAAAAAAACTTATGCCTTATGATGCTGTTCTGAAGCTGTTCAGTAACTTACTACTGAACTACACTTTTAAAATTAATTCTAATATGTTTCATACTATTCCCCTATCAAACAGATAGGGTAATTTGCAGCATTATTACAGGATATAATACAAATGATTATGTGTCATATGACATTTTATTTGACGTCAATATACCAAATAACGTCAGGAAAATTACCCCTACACTCATTAAGGTTCAACATATTTTTATCACTTCTAGTTTCAATATAATGTTGGCATGGAAAAAAATATTAATTTTTCTTGCATTAATTATAAAAATGCACAGTTTATTGTTATTTAGCACTCGCACCTATCAGCCTTGGTGATTATATTCCTGCACATTTAAACTGTCTACCTTTCAAAAATTTTAGGAAAAAATGTCCACCCTTTTTTAACATATGAGGGGGGCAAATGTAAGCCACTGCAAAAGATGAGGGGAGCAACTGTCCAGATGGCAAATGTGACATAAATGCTCAAAACACTCAATCATTATTACCATCTTTATTGAAGAAAAAATTTATATAAAAATATCCAAACAATACATTTCAAATATTGTTTTATCAATTTTTTATCAATATTTAGATACTTATGAAGAATGTGATTGTGCACCAATCCACTTTAAAAATTAAAAAAAATGTTTGAATTAAATCAATAACTAGTACCTGTATTAACCCATTACTTCATGAACATTTTGTGAAAAATGGCTGTTTTCATTGAAAAGTCTCCTGTTACAAGTTCAAATTGCTATAATACTATAAAAACTGCTTCAACACTAATCAAACTTGGCACAATGTTGACTGGACCATTGCCTTGAAACAACATGATCAGGCTTAAATTTTCTGTTACCAATGGGCAACGAGGGGACATCTCAAATTGACGAAAAATCCATCTTTTGCATTGATTTTTTCCATCAAAATGATTTCAAAAGTGCTGGCAACTTCTCAATGAATGAGATAGAGTCAAATGCTTTTCAGCGTTTGGTTACACGTACCTTATGAACAATCTGAGGTCATTTATATTCCCTCACAATCCAGAATTTTTCTTTGGCATGAGGGAGAATTCCGCCCCCTTCGGAAACCCAACAAACAAGAAGGGGGCACATCGCCCCTTATGGGCAACCCCCTTGATGTATCTTTTGGTTGGGGACCGCGCCGAAAAGTGGTTCCTTTTTTTTTAACAAATTTCCTCAAACAACAATGTGGCTTAAAGATTTTTCACCATTTGACAACAAAGGGGGGGTGAAAAAAGGCGTTTAAAAGGTGTTGTTATCAGCGCGTTAATGCGGTCACATATTTAACCCTCAACCTGCTATATGTATTTATGTATAATGGATTCCCCATATAGTTTTAAAGCGACTCCACTGAGTTTGACATCGATGGGACAGGAAACATACTTTTTTCCAGATATATGTTCTATTTACATTTGATGAAGGTCTTAGATCACTATCTGTGTGCCAAAATTTCAGCATCAATGTTGCGCACTTCGTTTTTCCAATAATTATGCAAATTGTAAAACAATGACCCCAAATGAAAGCGTTTAAATGCTTTACTCAAATCGGGCTAAGAAAAGCATAAAAATATGATTTTCAATTTATTTCAAAGTATATTTCTTAACTATCTTAGCATATATTTCTGTTTAAAGTGCCCCAGGTCATTTATATTAGAAATTCAAATGTTATGTTTTAGGCTTTTAAACTTCAGTGGAGTCCCTTTAAGATTAAAGGAATTTAATTTTCAAAATATAAAAAAATTGAGCTAAAAACAGTATAGAGCCTAGCCTGGCTGCAAAGAAGTTGCAGATTTTGGATCTTTACAAGTGGCAAAGGCTTATCACTTTTGATTCTTTGTTATTGTGTCTTAAATCAGCTTAAAAATGAGGACAATATTAAGGTAACTTTGACCATTAACCCTTTTATTTCAAACCTCACAATTCCAGTAATATATTTATTCATTATAAATGTAAAATGAAATAAGTTATAACAATGTCCTTTACTACCATTTGTGATATATGGATTTCATTTTCTTATGTAAAACATTATAGGCATCTCATGGGTTATATGGAATACCATCTTCTTATGTAAAACATTATAGCACCTAAAATGGGTTATACGAAATGGATTATATGGAATTCCATTTCCTATGTCAAACATTATAGCACTAATTGGGTTATATGGAATTTAATATTTCCTATGTCAAAATTATAGAATCTAATTGGGTTATATGGAATTTCAGTTTCTTTATGTCAAACAATTATTGCAACTGTAAATTGGGTTATATGGAATTTCTCTTTCTTATGTCAACAATTTCATATGTAAATGAATTATATGGAATTTCATTTTCTTATGTCAAACATTAAAGCACTTGAATAGGTTATATGGAATTTCATTTTCTTATGTCAACTATTTTATATAGCACCTATATGGTTTATGTGGAATTTCTATTTCTAATGTCAAACATCACAGCACCTTAATTGGTTATATGGATTTTAATTTTCTTAAGTCAAACATTATAGCACCCACAATGTGTATGGATTACCATTATATGGAATTTGAATTTCTCATGTCAAATATTTAAGCACTTAAAATAAAAGATATAAGTTGAATATTCTTCTTATACAAATGCAAGAGATAATTTATTCAACATTTGGCTTGTCTTGATTTTTACATGATCAGGGCAATTGGCCATAAGTAAGTTTAATTAATTCGAGGATGAGTCAGTTATTTACGTTATAAACAAATGATGTGCGTCTCCTTCTTAGAAGAGCAGTTTTCTTGTTCAATATGTTTTCTTGTTTTAATATTACTTCAGATAACTACAATTTAAATTATTCTTAATGTAGTTGAAAACAACGATATATCTCAATTCAAAACAACAAATGTCACAGAGTTCAAAAACCTGTCTTAAAGGTCAAATTGGATGAAGGACTATACTATGTGTCATTATTTTAGACACTTGCTTACTGCACTGACCTTTAAAGCGGAATAAAGCCTTATCTATGTTTTGTTTTGTTATTGTTTAATTGGGTTTTTACGTCAAACCCAAGAGTCATATGCGATTCCCCGCCTTGACTTGGGCAAGTGCCCTTCCGTGCCCATTATTCAGGCAAGAATGAGCACCTGAGTAGAACCACAGACATACTGTAAGCTAGCTGGATAGCTTCCTAACATGAAAGAATCCAAAGTCCCCATCATGATTCAAACCCATGGCGGTAAGGGGCAAGTGCTTTGATGTCAACAACCTTAACCACTTGGCCATGGATGCCCCTTGAACTTTTTTGAAGGTATTTATATGTAAGTTTAAGAGCAATGCTACCATGTATTTTCACCAAATAGGAATGCAACACAATATCAACTTATAGTGATCCCATATATGACCTAATTCATTTTGAAATCCCATTAAACATGCAGAACTTATAAACAGGACACAAACCTAAAACCAAAACTGTGCTTAAAAACAACTAAATGTACTCTGACCTTTGACATAGTGACATTGGTCATTAATAAGACTCATTGACTTCTAATGGTGGTTATGTGTTCCAATTAAAAGAAGCTACGAACTGACAAGAGATCCCACTGCCCTTGAGACCATGGAATGAATATAGTTAGTTCAATCCACTGCTGTGACATTGACCTTTGACCTAAGGACGAGTGTACATGTCTTGCTAAAGAAAGTCCATGCACCATGCATTAATGTGAACCACATTTTTTTTACATCTCATTCTGCATGTGGAAGTTATGAACCAAAAGAAATTCAAACTGCAATCTCCTGCAGTGACCATGACCTTTAACCCATAGAGCTTTGTCTTTGACAGGACATGTCAACTATTTACAGTCCTATATTAAATAATACATGTTTAAATAATGAGTTTGACACAAAGTATGTATTTTTTTTACCAGTAATACTGACAAGTTTTTTTTATTTTGTGACTATATAATTAATGTAAAAGAACAAAAATTCTTATCTGTAAAAAAGGTGTCAGTGAAATTAATCAATATTTGTTCCAAATGGAGCCAGTGATTTTCCTGCTTATATAATAGACTCCAATTAAGGGCCTCTTCACAATTGAAATTTTCTTTAAAATCATGCAGGTTTCCCAAAAACCTGAACTTAAACCTGCTTTTATACTTCCAAAATTAGCAATCATTTCCTCAAAATCAAGAGGCTAAGGCCTTGTCCCAATTAAGTGAGCAAAATCACTGGGAGCACGTAAAAACAAACAAAAAATATGCAAATGATAATGTACTCAGATTTATTTTAGAAAATCAATTATTGTTTGTGCCATTCTTATCCTCATTTTAGTTAAAAGGGTTACAATGCTTAGCATTTTTGGATAACTAATATGTGTGAGTGAATGATCTGAATATTTGCACACAAGTCATTGGTCCAGATATACCTAATGTTGAACAATAATCTCAAAAAAAAAAAAAATCCAGTCCCGTCATGTCAAAATACCACAGTAATGTACTTACTAATATTTCACAAGACGTAATTAATATCTGAATCATTGACGAATAAACAATGTTCTATTAAATTTGTCCAAGAAAAAGCTGTTGAAACAATTTCTTGAACTCTGTTAAGAAAAACTTTTGTCATCGGAAATTTTTTATATTATATAACTACCTAATATTTTGATCTGATCTTATACTGGATAAAACAAGACTTATAAAACTTAGCAAGACTGGTGGAATTATGAGAATAATAAGTACAAGATATACCTGAAGCTCGTGGCATGCAGTTATTTTTATCACACGGTATATGGGTTTTTAATTCATTCTTATTGTACGTATACATAGTATATTTAAAATCTTGTTTATATTGGTAGAGAGAGAGAAAAAACCCACTAACATATACTATTTTCATCGTGATCCTGCAGGGTTATCAAAAATAAAAAGATCTGGTTCAAAATTTGTATGAAATATACAATAAAGTAACTTCATCAACTAAACACTACCATACATAAGTGGTGCGGAAACATTGCTCATTTTTCAATTATTTTTTTCTATATGAGTGTTGTAACAGATAAAGATTGAAATATGCAAATTAGGTTTTTAGATTAAATATTTCCCCACCTAGTATGTTGCTAGCGGTTGAAACAGCAAAATAAATTGAAGAATGCAATGAATAAGAAATTTTTTCTAAAAAATACCACACTACTTCTGGGGAATCAGTTACTATAACATTATTACAGTTTTGTTTCTTTGTATCCAAGGCAACATAAAATGGCTACAATGGAGCACAAACCACACAAATATGATACTTTAAAACCCAGGAGTGCAGTATGAAAACAGAATGGGTGGGGTACGGTTTGTATGCTTACCTCTTGTAACAGATCTTGTGCTGCAATGGCTTTGAGTACATTCTTTTTGCTAGTCTCTTGTACCTCTCCTCCAAGTAGCAATTCATCTAACATAAAGTAAGCTTTCTCAAAATTGAATATAATGTCTAATTCACATACCTGTCAAAATACAGAAGAAAAAAAACCATAATTCCAAAATGCTAATTGATATACTTGTCTTTTTTATTTATCATTTTCAAAGATGGCCTTATATGGTGATATCAATTTCAAAGTGCTATCAAAATCCAAAATGACCTTATAAAATGATATCAATTTCAAATATGGCCTTATTGGTGATACCAATTTCAAAGATGGCCTTCTATGGTGCTATCAATTTCAAACACAGCCTTATAAAGTGACATCAATTTCAAAGATGGCCATATATGGTGATACCAATTTCAAAGATTGCCATATATGGTGCTATAAAATTCAAAGATGGCCTTATAAAGTGACATCAGTTTCAAAGATGGTCTTACATGGTGATATCAATTTCAAAGATGACCTGATATGGTAATATCAATTTCAAAAATGGCCAGATATGGTAATATCAATTTCAAAGATGGCCAGATATGGTAATATCAATTTCAAAGATGGCGAGATATGGTAATATCAATTTCAAAGATGGCCAGACATGGTGATATCAATTTTAAAAATAACGACACATGGTGATATCAATTTCAAAGATAGTAATATATAGTGCTATCAATTTTAAAGATGGCCATTTCCTGTGAAATTTTAAAGATCAGGCAATCTGAAGATGGCCTTTTTAGGTGATTTCAATTTCAAAGATAGCCATATATGGTGATATCAATTTCATAGTTGTCCAACTATTATGTAATAGTTATGATTTCCTGTAGAAAAGAAATAAAATGAAACTTTCACTCACACTGCCAAAGTATTTATCAAGCAGTTCCACATATCTATGGATGATTTCTAGAGTCAATAATTCATTGTCCTCGTGTTCTATAGCACAACAGAAATAAAGACTAGCATACCTGTAAAAGAATAGATAAATTGACCTTATTTATGTTGTCTATATAAGAAATTTGCATCTAGAAAACTTGAAAAATATATTTTGTGTCCAATAAATAGTTTAAACTTAAAAACCAGGGGTGCAGTGACTTTGTAAGTTGTTGAACTATGAATGAACTTAATTTTTTTAAATCAAAAACAGGATGGACTCTGCTAACAAGGAAGTCATGTTGTTCAAAAACAAGTAGAGTTAAAAACAAGTCCAGTTCTCACATAATATTATACTTCCATAGAACTATGCTTGTTTTTTAGTTGGAATATAGCGATACTGACACTGATTATCAACATTTAATATCAATAACAATTCACAATGATGATAAGGATACAATAGAATCAATTTCTCCTGGTCTTTTGCAAGTTGCTATTTTGTCTGAATAAAGAAGTCACTTCTTGCCAATTCCTTTGGCAAGCTTGAACTCTGAATTTTAATTTCACAGGTTAGTGAAAAATAACAATTATTTTATTTTGTTTGGTTTTACAGTGCACAAACACTATATAGTTCATATAGCGCCAAAACAGGAAAGACAATTTTAGCTAACATTGGGGGCTACAAACTTAAAGCAACACAAGTTCAGATTTTCAGAAACCATGATTGATTGCATGAATGTTTATTTTTTTTTTTTTTTTTGATGGGGGGGGGGGGGGGGAGTTGTATTTTAGTAATGAGAGTGTGGGTGTAGATTTTTTTTTATCTTTTTTTTATCTTTTTTTTTTTTATTTTTTCTATGTGTATGACTTGTCAAATTTGAATACAATTAATAAACATACTAACTGGTGGATTTGGAGTGCTTAAATGAGAGACAAACAAGATGGTTCCAGACTTTCAAATAATGTAACAGCAGCAATAAAGTTTGTTTGTTTGGTTGGTTTTATGACACACCAACAGATGACCCCAAAACAGGAAAGATGATTTTGGTAAACCTCAGGTGTAACAAACTTCAATGCAACTTCAGGTATCAAAACCATAGAAAACCTGCTGGAGCTAAGAGATGCATAGTCTTTAGTTACATGTATTCCCATTTAGTCGCCTCTTATGATCACCCAGGGTTAAACACAGGGTGGCTGCAATTCTAATGCCTCAACCATTGAAAGTAACCCTTCAGACACAAGGGGCGCAGCAATTAAAATCATGTACATGAATGCTTGAAACTGGGTACCAGCTAAATAATACATGGTATATGCAGAACCATGAACTGCTGTCTATTTTTCCTTAATGGAGCGTTGTTATTTCCTGTTACTGTATATAGTTATATAAGGAAACAAGAGCTGTCAGTAGAACAGTGCGTTCCACTTTTATTCATTGCACGATAGTAAAACAAGAGCCTGGAAAATGTATGCATGTGTCACTATGAATAGGAAAATTTTATTCCAAAAAATATGTGGTAAAAAGTTTTGAGTCTTGGAAAGTCACGTGCAATACTGATCCCAAAGATATGTGTCTAGTCTCAAGTGAATACATTAAATTTTTTTAAACTGATACTGCATGCAAAACGAATAAACCAAGAAAGTTTTTAAAGTTAAAAAAAAGGCCATAATTCTGTTAAAATTCTGTTTAAATCGTTGCTATAGTTTTAGGCCTTGGACAGTGATTTCCTATTACACATACAAATTTATACTACATGTTTTTTAATTATTGTCTCCCCTAGGCAAGCCAATAGTTACCGTATATTTGTGTAAATATAAAAGTAAAATATTTTAGTATAACAATATCGCAACAACATTTCAAATAATCATATCAGATAATTAAAATCAACTCCTATTAAATTGCCTTGACAATAAATATCAAGAAAATCAAGTAAAAGAATGCCCTCAGGTGCAAAAATTCAATGAAATTGACACAATGTATGTAAATATTATGTAATATTTTTAATAACATAATTATGTAACACTTTTTCAAACACATATACAAGTGTACATTTAATTATGTTTGTATGTATATAGTGAAGTAAGTCAAAATAACCAGACTTTTGTGATGGCATGATCCTTTCTGTTTTACTAAGAGATTACAAAATTGAAACATCTAAATGCTACAATGGGTGACCTCATACACTCAATAAATAAGGATACAAGATCGATCAGATAAATTGAAGAAATTCAAACTAACCGTACTAAAGGAATTAAACAGTACAATTTTTACATTTAATTCTGTTATAAAAATACTGTAGGACTTAAAAAAGGGTGTTGTGTAAAAAGGTAACAGTGTAACATGTTCCATGGTAAAGGTAACTTTGGACGGTACCTAGACTAAGGTAGCAACGTGTCATCTGTTAAGTAAGCCGTAACATTTGTTACGTTCCGTAATTGTGCAGAAAGGATAATATCGGAATTATCATAATAGGATTTGCAAATTGTATCAATATGTATCAACATAGTACAGAACATTTATCCCACTTAGAGGCATTAGTAATACAGAAAGTTTTATTTATTACGAAAACTGTTATAAACGGAAAGGAAATTATATCAATTTAAGTATAAGAATATGAAGTACAAGAGAAGTGCCTGAGTGTATTATACCATTGTGCAGGACAATTGATAAAATGATTCATGCAATATTGGATGAAGAATCATAAAACTTTTTCAAATGCCTACGTGTAAAACTCGTGAAAAAAAAGAGAAATTTTATACATGTATGTAGGGATATTAATCACAAACAAGTTCTGAAATATACTACAAGTATATTTTACAAGGAAAAAAATTTATCACCAGTGTTTTCAAATAACAGACCATCTTCTACTGTTATAAAGTTTCATCTTAAAGTAGGAAAAAGTGAATAGGAACAAAGAAAAACGACAAAAAGACAGCAAATTTATAACTTAACTACATGTAAATACTTATAATTACATAAAGTACAGCAATCTAAATTGATACAAAAAATATTATTTAAAAAAAAATTTAATTTTTTTATGGAATTTAACCCCAAAGTAATTTAACCCCCGGGTAAAATACAAAAGGAACATTTTAAATTTGGGAAAATTTTCGGGAAAAACAATTAAAATAACATTTTTGGGGAAAGTTGGGGATATTCACTGAACTTTGTAGAACTCCCCAAAAAAGGTTGGGTAACGCCAAAAACCCAAAAATTTCTCACACATTTTTGGGAAAATTATGAAAAAAGGAAAACCAAAATGATAAAAAATCATAAAATTTTAAAAAAAAATTATAAAGGAAAAGAAAGTTGAAATTCTATATGAAAGCTTTTTTGGAGGGGAAAATTTAAACTTTAAAAATCAAAAGTTACTTCAACAGGAAATTGTTTTTTTTAAAAATTTTAAAAAATTTTTTTAAGTTGTAAAAAAATTTTTAAAATATTTTTAATTTCATTAATTTGGGGTTTAAAGAGTAAAGGGAACTAAAATCTTAGGTCATTTTTCTTAAGCAATATCTCTTATTGTTTCAGAGTTATATCCCGGACAAAGTTCAGTTTTAAAAATGAACAAAGGGCAATAACTCTAAAATTAGGCAAGGCAGAAATATATTTCTTGTGCATTGCATATCTACCCATTAAGATCTATTTACCTACAAAGTTTCATATTGATATCTCTTATAGTTTTAGAGTTATGTCCCAGACAAGATTTTTCTAAAAGGGGAGATAATTTAAAAAATTTAAACAGGACAAAACAGAGTTAATGGTCTTCTTTGGGCACTGCACTCTGCCTCAATGCCCTCTACCACTGTGTGCAGTTTAAACAAATTATGTCCAAGGGTTTTCAAGTTATGTGCTGGACAAGCACAGATATTTTAAAAGCAATCAATTACAATTGTATACATGTACATAATGCTTGCATACATCATCTTTTTTAAAATGATGTACACATATATTTTAATGTTTTTAATTTAAATTTCTTTTTATTACAGATACTAAGGTCTCATATTTCTATCACAAAATGTTTAAGACAAAACACGCATTAACAGAAGTGCAAACAGAGCGAATTAAACATCTGCAGGAAAAGTGCAATTACCTTATGGAAAGGGTCGGAAGGATAAGCTATCAAAACATATACAAACATCAACAGATATACTCAACACGCAACTCTGCCATTTGCGTAGTGGCTAAATCAGGCTGCACATTTCTTAAACAAATAATTTACTATCTTAATGATCCTAAAAAACTTTTAGGTTTAAGGAAGCCTAAACACAATGCGGAAGAACTTAAAAATGTAACTCTGCTCCAAAAAAATGTTTTTAATTTAGCGAGAAAAGATATTCATTACTTGCTCAATTTCGACAATGTGCAAGTTACGGCTCGTGATTTCAGGAAAGGCATGTTTTTGAAAGCCATAGTTGCAAGAAATCCTTATTCACGATTATATTCAGCCTACTTAGACAAGATTTATGTGCCAGTCTTCGAGGATGTCTTTCAAGCCAAATATGAGGAAATAATCTCAACAGGTAGTAAAGTAACACAATTGAAGGCGTGCAAAGATTATGTGTCTTTTGAAGACTTTTTAAAACATGTTTTATCTGAAAGCCGTAAGAGTAACGGAAATCCTCACTGGCTCCCGGCCTATTCTCAGTGTAATGCTTGCAGAGCGAAACCAGATATCGTCATAAAACAAGAGACGTACTACGAAGACATAGAATATTATCTGTCACAAATCGATATCAGTTCATCCGAATGGGAAGAAATCGACTCTGCAATCGCCAAAAAGGGGATCCAATCAGATTCCATAATTACCGGCTTGATTCAAACAATGTTTGATAAAAGCTTGGAAAGTGAACTGTCAATATGCTTCTCCAAGATTCAGATTGCTCAACGTATCTGGGAAGCATTGCAATTTCAAGGTCAAATTTATCAGAATCAGAAATTTCCAGTTGTACGTTTAAAAAACATGCACCTCGATGCGACAAGTGTGGCTGGTGTTTTCCTTTCTCAGATAAAGAAAATGCCAATTACCGTTGAGGAGAGCAAGAATCAGAGGAAAAATGCCCTGGCAAGAGCATTTAGAAATATTAAACCCGAACTGATTATTAACATTCAAGCCATGTTTTATTATGATTTCATGATATTCAATTATGACTTTGAACCACCAAAATAAACTATATGATTTCAAAAATATATAAGATAATTTTGTTGAAGTTCTGATTTACTGAGTTTTGACTTTGATTTTATGAGTAAAACTGCCATGCCTACATATTTAATGTACATTTAATTTTGAAGAAACAATTAATATGAAATTTTCCACGGAAAGGAAATCTTCCTGGAAGTAGAAATAAACTTTCAGTTTGTGTACTTTTAATAGAAGTCACCTACAATGACAATATGTAAACTAAGCAAAAATAATTTGCCCTTAATCAATTACAAAAAGAGCCTTAGTATGATGATATCACATAAATTTAGACACATTCTAGGTATATTTGCGTGCAAACCTTAATTAAAAGGTGACTTTCTTTTCATAGTGTTAAAATTGGCTGTATTTTCAGCTTATATATTAAAATACCCCTCTTGACCCTTAACCAAATCGGTTGTTTTCGTTGACACATCTGTTGCCTCAGATAAAAATGAAAACGTTTGAATGTTTGTCCCTTTTTTCCAGATATACAAATTTATATATTTTTAATCCTGCTGGAGGCAACCACTGCAGACAATGATCAACCGGCATGTCTGTGCTTTCTGACCATGGTCTGCACTGTTGGTTTTTCAGTTGGTACATATTTTGAAATTCTTCCCCTCAAAAATGATGAATGGATCTGTCAAGTGTGAAGGGCTGAGAAGACCATTTAAGATGTAAGGTGTGAAAATCATAAGGGCTAAACAAGAATTTTTTATACCTTTTATAAACTACTTTAAGATCTTTCCACTCAAGAAAGCTGCACATCTTTGGTTTCCTTGACAACACTAGTGTCACCAGTTCCCTTGTTATCTTCTTCTTCATCTTATCTTGGTGCGCAACATACCATTTTTGTAGCCGTAACTTGCCTTGCCGGCTAAACAAAAGCATAAACTGCATCTGCAAAACAAATTCATATCAATCTCTGGAATTTTGATTAGTACTTTTCATTTTATTGCCCGATTGGGAAAATACATATATTGTGATAGTGTCAGGCTGTCATCTTATTCTTGTCTGATTATTATCATGAAAAGGAATAAGCCATAGTTTAAGTAATTTGGGAGGGACATTGCCCTTTTACCATCACATTTTATTCACATCTCAATAAAGTAAAGATTGAAAATTCCAAAAACTAATTAAACCTTTTAAATAAAACCTTACTGCCACTTTTTTGGTGAAAATCAATAGAATACCAAATTATCTTCCAGAATGCAATCACAATATACATTTTAATATCAAAATCAACATTTAATTAACACCAGAAGTAAATTTTGCATCCTGATCAAGCAATACAAAAGGAGTCCCCAGCCAAAAGTTCTAGCCGTACATGCATTTCCTTTTTCAAAATGGTGGAGCATCTTAATTATAGTAAACACACGAAGACAATTGTTGTTTCTTGGTGAAACGAGGACGTTTAAATACATAAAATAGCATGTGCATTTTCGACTTTCATTGTGGGAAGTCAAAATCTTTGGCTTGCCCGGGTATAGACTACACGTGAATATTTAAAAAGAAAAAAAAAACAACAAGAGCACCGCTAGGCGGAGCATTATATGCCCGAAAGTGTTTTTTTTTTTTTTAATAAGGATGAAGCATTTATAAGACATGGGAATTAGCTGTTCATCCTATAAAATTTTACAGCTGTAGGTTGATTAATACTTAAGTTATTAATAATGACCTTAACCTTTGACCTTTTGACCCCAAAATCAATAGGGGTCTTCTACCTTATATGGACAATCATCCTAAAAAATGTTGGAATATTGTTGGCCACTTGGAACTTTAATTATGCTCTAGAAACTGTTTTCAGTATTAAGGTAAAAGTGACATTGACCTTTGACCTTGTGACCCCAAAATCAATAGGGGTCTTCTACCCAATATGGACAATCATCCTACGAAGTTTGAATATTGTGGGCCAAATGGAACTTACTTTATGCCCCGGAAACTGTTTTTGGTTTTAAGGTAATTGTGACCTTGACCTTTGACCTAGTGACCCCAAAATCAATAGGAGTCTTCTGCCCAATATGGACAATCATCCTATGAAGTTTGAATATTGTGGGCCAAATGGAACTTAAGTTATGCTCCAGAAACTGTTTTCAGTTTATAGGATATAGTGACCTTGACCCTTGACCTTTTGACCCCAAAATCAATAGGGATCTTCTACCTAATATGGACAATCATCCTATGAAGTTTGAACACTGTGGGCCAAATGGAACTTAAGTTATGCTCTGGAAACTGTTTTCAGTATCAATGTAATAGTGACCTTGACATTTGACCTTGTGACCCCAAAATCAATAGGGGTTTTCTTCCAAATATGGACAATCATCCTATGAAGTTTGAACACTGTGGGTCAATTGGAACTTAAGTTATGCTCCGGAAACTGTTTTCAGTATCAAGGTAATAGTGACCTTGACCTTAGACCTTGTGACCCCAAAATCAATAGGGGTCTTCTACCCAATATGGACAATCATCCTATGAAGTTTAAACATTGTGGGTCAAATGGAACTTAAGTTATGCTCCGGAAACTGTTTTCAGTTTTAAGGTCATAGTGACCTTGACCTTATGACCTTTTGACCCCAAAATCAATAGGGGTCTTTTACCCACTATGGACAATCATCCTATGAAGTTTGAACATTGTGGGCCATTTGGAACTTAAGTTATGCTCCGGAAACTGTTTTCAGTATCAAGGTAATAGCGACCTTGACCTTTGACCTTGTGACCCCAAAATCAATAAGGGTCTTCTACCTTATATGGACAATCATCCTATGAAGTTTGATTATTGTTGGTCGAATGGAACTTAAGTTATGCTCCGGAAACTGTTTTCAGTTTTAAGGTCATAGTGACCTTGACCTTTGACCCCAAAATCAATAGGGGTCTTTTACCCAATATGGACAATCATCCTATGAAGTTTGAACATTGTGGGCCAAATGGAACTTAAGTTATGCTCCGGAAACCAAATTGCTAACGGACGGACGTACGGACGGACATACGGACAGACAGACGGACGCCAGGGGGTATAACATAATATGCCCTTTCGGGCATATAAAAAGAAAAAAATATAGAATTCTATACCTATCAGCGAAATTTTCAGTGTCATTTCTTGTTGGGCACCGTAACGCAATGATAAACAGCGAGTAATCCGATAATTGACAAATCGCAACTTTTCGGCATACAAGATAACGATAAAAGCCGAGGAATTATGGGCAGCCATCTTGGATGGGAACCATAATAAGACAGGAAACCAGAACAAACGGAAGCAGTGTATAAAATACCAAATGGCACTTTTAAAACGGAAAATAAAAATACCGACTTCCCTGTTCATAGGCTTTGCCAAATTTCATATTAGGACAGGGAACCAGAATAAACGGAAGCAGTGAATAAGATACTGAATGACAACTTTACAACGGAAAATGTTAAATAAAAATGAACAATTATTTTATACTAGTAAATCTAGTCCAATATATTAGACGTTACAGGCTTGTTATAGTTTTTGTCGGTCAAGCCTGACGTCTAATAGTTATTGCTCAAAAACGCATAGCATCATAAAAAATTCCAAAAATGTCTATTGTCCTGCCTTGCAAGCTTTATTCAAAAGATTATCATATTTTCTTTCCATTTCATGCTCAATCATACACAAAAACTGTCAAACGATGTACTTATCAATTTAAAACAAAATATAAACATCAATCTATTTTTGTCTATCAGCCATACTGGTTAAGCAAGGTGCTTTACAGATTGATTCCAAATTTTTGAACGGAAAAATATATTCGAACACACTGACTCTGTTAAACGCTTGCATTTGAATTAGCCAATCAGATTTCGCGCACTTTACGGCCGCCATTTGTTTATCGGCTGTAAAAGGAATTGAAATACATGAGAGGATTTAATCGTGATTTTTCGGATGTGACAGTTTAATTATTTTGACAAAAGGTATTTATTTTTTAGTTTTGTTCATAAATAGGTCAAAAATATGTAAATACACGCTGTCTTCATTGTTTTTCGTTCCGCCCGATTTTCTGGCGGAACATGCTATGGGTTTTTGAGCAATTTCGATATGACGTTGCTTTGCCCAGAAGCAAAAATATCTCAAAGCGACGTCATATTAATATTTATAGGACTACTAGTAAATCAAGCTAATACGGGGAAGTCAAAGACCGGGCCCGCGAAGCGGGTCCGGGCTTAGGCTTGCCCGGCTATAGATTACACGTGAATATTTAAAAGAAAATCAAATAAAAAACAATTAAAAAATATATAGAATTCTATACCTATCAATGAAATTTTCAGTGTCAGTTCAAGTCGGGCGCCGCCATTTACAATGTACGTCAATGATAATAGGCGGGGTATTCCGATAACGGAACAAATCTCAACTTTTCGGATTAGTAATAATCGTCGAGTGTTCCGAGTGAAAACGGAAGCGGTGTATGTAATATCGAATGACACCTTTAAAACGGAAAGAATGAAAGGATTTTTTTAACGACTTCCCCGTTCATAGGCTTTGCCTAATTTCATATTAGTCGATTATTCTGAGTGAAAACGGATCTGGAAGCGGTGCATGAATTACCGAATGACACCTTTAAAACAAACTAGAACTCCGCGAGTCGGATGTGTCGCCTTGTGAACAATGTAGTTTAGGGGAAATGGCCAGGACAAAAATGAAATATAAAAATTAACAAAGGGCAATAACTAAAAAAATAATAAGTGCAGAGCAGCAGTTTCTGTACACTGCACTTCTTATCAATAACATCTATCATTCTATGATGTTTCAAGTCCATAGCTTTCATACTTGAGGAGAAATGACCAGGACAAAAATAAAGTAAGAAAATCAACAAAGGGCAATAACTCAAAAATAAGAAATATAGAGTATCAGTTCTTATGCACTGCACTTCTTTTAAATGAGATCTATCATCCTATGAAGTTTCAAGTCCATAACTTTTATACTTTCGGAGAAATGGCCTGGACAAAAATTAAGTATGAAAATTAACAAAGGGCAATAACTCAAAAATTAAGAAATGCAGAGTACCGATTCTTGTGCACTGCACTTCTAAATAATGAGATCTATCATCCTATGAAGTTTCAAGTCCATAGCTTTTATACTTAAGGAGAAATGGCCCGGACAAAATTAAAGTATGAAAATAAACAAAGGGCAATAACTCAAAAAATAAGAAATGCAGAGTACCAGTTCTTGTGCACTGCACTTCTTCTTAATGAGACCTATCATCCTATGAAGTTTCAAGTCCATGGCTTTTATACATTAGGAGAAATGGCCCGGACAAAAATAAAGTATGAAAATTAACAAAGGGCAATAACTCAAAAATTAGGAAGTGCAGAGTACTGGTTCTTGTGCACTGCACTTCTTCTTAATGAGATCTATCATCCTATGAAGTTTCAAGTCCATAGCTTTTATACTTAAGGAGAAATGGCCCGGACAAAATTAAAGTATGAAAATAAACAAAGGGCAATAACTCAAAAAATAAGAAATGCAGAGTACCAGTTCTTGTGCACTGCACTTCTTCTTAATGAGACCTATCATCCTATGAAGTTTCAAGTCCATGGCTTTTATACATTAGGAGAAATGGCCCGGACAAAAATAAAGTATGAAAATTAACAAAGGGCAATAACTCAAAAATTAGGAAGTGCAGAGTACTGGTTCTTGTGCACTGCATTTCTTCTTAATGAGATCTATCATCCTATGAAGTTTCAAGTCCATAGCTTTTTTAGTTGAAGAGAAATGGCCCGGACAAAATTAATGTATGAAAATTAACAAAGGGCAATAACTCAAAAAATAAGAACTGCAGAGTACCGGTCCTTGTGCACTGCACTTCGGGTTATTGAAAGAAGCATGCATACCAAGTTTGAAGTCAATCAGACTTATAGTGACTGAGTTATGCTCCGGACAAGCTTTAGGTAGCGACCACAACCCATTTTTAAAAATTTCAAAAAGGCATTAGTGTTATACATCATTGGAAAGGTCTTGGCAAAACAAGTTCAGTGGTGCAAATTTTATCAAAATCGGATGTTCCTATCCAAAGTTATGGCCCTTTCAATTTTTATCAAATTGCGAATTTTCTGCCGTCCTTGTGTTATTTTATATAATCATACTCATATATTCCTTAAAGATATAATACATATGTTTCATACATGAATTAAGAGGTTATTGTAAGCTTAATTCAATGGGACATATTTAATCAAGATCTGATGTGTGTTTATTACTTAAATCAAATTTATCTGTACTGAGTTATGGCCCCTTGATTTTTTGTGAACAGGTCTTTCACCCGAACCTTCAAATTAGCACAAACCCAGGTAATATTTAGCTGTTAAAGAATAAAAAGAGATAAACAGTGATAAACATACATTTTATATATGCAAGTGAAAAGTCTTACCAAGACAATTTCAGTTATATTTATGAGGGTCAGTTTGGCAGTGTTAAGTTAAGGACCTTGGACTGCCTTCGAAAGTTTATTATTTCGACATCAACTTGTGATATTTGAAATATGCGTCATTGAAAAAAAGAAATGTCATACACATTATTAGGCTTATATTTTCCTGACAATATTCATTATTTTATTTCAAGACATTTAAGGACAAGAAGAAGCCATAATTATAAATCTAAGTAATACTTATTTAACCCTGATTTACATAAGCAAGTCAAATAAAATACCGAAATTTTGTATTTGCCTTCACCGTACCATTTTAACCGAACTAAATGCGTACATCACGAACAAAATTGTTCTTAAAAAAGTTCACGGATGATCACATCTCCAGCTCTATATTCCTCCCCCAACTTTGATGTGTAAACAGCATCATCATCTTCATACACAACATTAAACCATGCTGGGAACCCAGGAACCTGCAAATACAAAAATAGAAAATGTTTTGAGTACAAGTTTTAAATAATCTATCAAATTATCATATATATCCAAACATTGAACAGGCAGATAGCAGTTAAACTTTACCTGTGAAATAACTCTGCCATTGTACCACTTTGGGGCATCATTTTCAATCCACTTATGTTCTATATATTTGCCAACTAGCATATGGGGTTGTTCAGGTGGAGGAACTTGATAAGCATTTTCAATAAGTGAGGCAACTTTATCTTTAAGTTCATCTACACTTAGTGGGACACGCTTTCCATCAACCTGTTTACTAAATGTGTATACATTTGGAGTTTCACTCTTTTGATTAAAAACATTTTTCCTAAATCTAAGTTGAACTTTCAATGCCTCTTCTTTTTCTTTTTTTGATTCAATTTTTTCTAACTCACTTTCCATCTGCGCTACATTTTGCCACAAACCATAAAAAAGCATATCTGCAGTCTCCCTTTCAAGTTTTTCTATTCGCCGCCTCTCTTGCTCTACTTTCTTTCTAAAATCTTCTTCCTGTTTTTCTACTCTCTTTGCTAATATTGTTTGCTCTCTTTGTTTAAACCGCACTCTTTCAGCTTTCACACCACTCCTACTTTCTTTTATTATTTCATTCATGTTCTCCTGACCTGACAGCCACTCACTAGTCTTATTTAATGAAAATGTAATTTGTGACTCAAGAGCCAGGGTTTTAATATTTGGCTTAGCAGTAAGTATATGATCTACATATGAAAAAACACGTTCAGGAAACTTATTATGTTTATCTACGCTAGCTGTTATATCTGGATTTATTATTTCATATTTTCCACCGGGGAGATGGTCACCATATTGCCTTTGAATTAATTTTGAAAGTGCGGGTATTATGACACTTAGAATAAGAATGACGTTTCCATCATATTCAGAAGGCTGTACAAGATGCGTGTAAACTATATCCTTTTTGATTGGAATGTCATCATATAAAACTAATTCACCTTTTATAAATTCCTCAAGATTTTTTACTACATCATTCAAGAATGTTAAAAGAGCTAAATACTTTTCACTCATCATTGAAATTGAAACATTTTTGCTTTCTATCACTTTCCATAATGGTGTTGTTATAATTTTTGAAATAAGTCCTAAAGCTTTACAGCCTGCTAAAAAGAAGGGAGTTTTTAAATCTTTAAGGACACTTTGCAAAAGACCATTCATGGAGGATATTTTATCAAGATATTCAGTCATTTTATCTTTAAGAAAATAAACATGCCCAGCATTGGAAAACAAAATGTTGAACCTATTGCCGCGTAAAGGCTGCAAAGGCAAACCCAATATATTGTTTTGCTTTAAAAAGTCAGCTATGTATGTTTTAAAACCCTGATGGCAGCCACTTTTTTGGTCCCCTCTCCTTGCGAAAGCTTTACAGGCTGTATGAATAAGACGAACCGTCCCAGACTGACCTGACTTTGCAAAAGATGGATTGTCAATAGGAATGTTGCCATCAAAATGGGCCTTTTCTATTTCAAATAAAGATTTCTGAGACGCATCTGCCATATGCACAAGTGTGTGGAGACCACAGAAAAAATTATTCATACTTGAAATTGCTTGTTTTGATTCCTCATTCATTAAATTAAAGTTTTCAATCACTTCTGGTAAAATTGTATCTCTATATTCTTTCAACATGTCATTAAATTTTGTTTCTGTGGAAGCTCTATCACTCATGGTGTTTTTAATATTAACAAGAATTTTTTTTGCAGTATCTGTGTCACAATTACCGGCTAAATCAATATCATACAATATATCTTTAAAAGTTTCAAGTGTATCACTTGATGACTTAGTAGCCATATCTCTTAGACCTAAAAGTAAGTAGTTACCCTCTGCATCCCTTGTGCCAAAGGCGCCCCACTTTGACCCATACTTTGAGGCTTCATCAGTATGAAGAGTTGTGTTCTTATTTTCAGAACATTCAGATATATGTCGCCTGGCAATTAAGGATCTTTCAATTGACCAATTATTTATTGTGCTAGCACAGGGTAACTTATTTGCTTTCTTTTTACAAAGTTTTAGAACACTTTCAATAACATTACTAACATGTTCACATGAGACATGGTTATCTAACAAAGTATAAACACACGCATGTAATTCTGAGATATAAGAATTTGAGTCAACATCAAAGAGGTCCATGTTCTCAATCTTTTTCAGATCAAGGTTTTCAATATTAAGTTCATCAATAATGTGTTTAAGATTTTTTATTTCTTCATTTTTTACACACAAAGTTTCTTTAAGTTCAAGAATTTGTAACCTTAAATCATGAATGACATTTTCAGCTGTTAAATTTTGTTGCACCTTTTGTACCTTATCACGCCAATAGGCCTCCCTATTGGCGGTTCGTTTTAAAGCTTTTTGACTTTTATTTAACAAATCTAAATTAGCATCTAAACTTTCATTCAAAGTGTCTTTTTCTTCAGTTAACACCTCTAACTCCTCTTCCATAGTAACCATTTCATATTTTGTATCACACAATTCATTTGCTAATTTTTCGGCAACTTCCTTATATACAGTTGCTTGTAAGACAGGATTATCATTTGGTTGAAATGGGGTGGCAGATGTTAAACATTTATCATTGGCATTGGTTTTACAAGGTGTACTTTCTTTAGAACTTGGAAATATAAAAGTATCTTTCATAAAACTGTCAAAATGTTGTTTGCCTTTCACTCGAGTTTTGCTTTTATTTAAATGCTGGTACTTCTGATAAATACGGGTGATGTGACTTAGCAAAGCTTTGTATGTGATATTTGAAAGTTTTGATGGGTATCTTTCTATCATGTATTTTGTTGTGGCATCAAGACCATGACCCTTTACATGCTCAATTACATTTTCATTTGAAATAAAACTTGAATCCATGCTTGCATATATCTGAAATTTAATAAATGATTTGTTAAAACTTATACTTACTAAGTATTACTTTGTAAACTGTATGAATACTGTACTGGAATCAATGGAGTCCATAACTGAAAATGATGGGAAATAAAACCAAAATGTTAAACAAAAGAAAAAGATAACAAAATGATAAATTGTACTAGTCATTAACTTATAAACTAAAGCGTCAATTTAGACAAAATAAATAAATATGTATCAAATAAAATAAAATTTAATCATGTCCACAGAATAAAATCAAAATGCAGACAGTTCACCTGATGAAACCATCATGACAGGATCAAACAAAGTCAAAGACCTCCATGAAAACAAAAATTGGTTGATAAACAAAATGTCAAGGACATACCCTTGGATCCACGTACAAAATCATTGTATTATGATTATGAACAAACATTTCCAAAGCTTTAAAACACATAAATAAACACACTATCAATTTTAAACCACATAAATAAACACATTATCAAACTAAAAATGAGCTATAATCATTATTTACAATTCAAAATTACTATTGTCTCCATTTCAAGAACGTTTGTTTACATATCCGAATTTGATTATGTATCCGAATTATTTCAAATTGTACTTTCTGTTTCGATATGACAACTTCCGGTTTCATTTCGGGGAACACCTACTTCAGTTTTCTGACGTGCGCAACAAGTGCGCAGACTCGCTTGCAAATGACCTTCACATATCCGTAAATAAAAATAATTGATATCATCAAAAATCAACAAATTTAGACCGAGGGAGGGGCTAACCCGGGTAAAATACCTATTTTTCCGTCACCAGAGGACTAATATTTCAATTTTCTAAGAGTAATTTCAATGTATTAATGGAAAAACCACACCGACAGGATGCGCATATAAAGCAGACATCAACATCACGTGGTTATTTGCCGCCAATGAAAGCAAATCTCGCAATTATCGAGATTTACGTAACTACCCTACTGTAAACAAAATGGCTTCCACGGAGGCGGAAGTAAACAAATTACATCGAAACAAAGCGTAAATTTGCCGACAAAAATAAACAAAGTATACAACAAGTACCAAAAACATGTAAAAAAACATGTCCTTTCACTATTTTAAATAATAAAAAGTAAAAACACTTACCGGTAGACTGCCAAAAATGTCGTACAAAATCTATACTGTTTACGTTACGGTAGAAGGCAAATACAAAATGGCGGCGCCGATTGGGGTCGCTACTTTAGGGGACGCCGACAACGACAACGACACAGACGCCGCCGACGAAAGTAACCCCTATATGTCACCTTTTCAAGGCGACACAACAAAATGAACGATTTCTTAACCAACTTCCCCGTTCATAGGCTTTGCCTAATTTCATATCATTTATTAATAAACATGATGAATATCGGATCATTCATGTCATAAATTATTTGGTTCATATCAGACATATGCTGGATTTTGTAGACTTTTCCTTTGCAAATCGACTTCTTAACAATGAAACATATTCAATGGATAAAAAAATGAACATCTTCTTACCATTTTGACAAATGGCAAAGGAAAGTGAATAAAGTAGAGCTATTGATTTTAATTTTAATTTCTATGTTGTTGGTCCCACCTCACTTCCTGTATTCGTAAGAATAAATTGTTGTAATATCGACTTTTAATATGTAAAAACCGATAGCCGTATCGAAACCGTAAATCATTATGTAGAAACGGCCTACTGAATTTTCGTACTAATATATTCTATAGTAAATGCATTACATTTAAGGCTAAATGCTGGAGCATATTCGGAACAGGAATTTTATAGCTATGTCTTTAAACACCAATGCAATGCAAGTAAAATTAGCACAAACAATAATATATTAGCCCTTGCAGTTTTTCTGCAGCTTTGAATTTGTGCACAATCACTATAAAATAATCCAAAACAGCAACTGGTGAGTATTCTGAAAAAATGATCGGTCTGATTTTACATAATAACGACATAAATATAGGAATTGGCTGCTACGAGAATCGATCGCTCAGGTGTCAGTTGCATACAAAGACAAACCTACTTATCCAGTCGGTAGTTGCTTGTCCCGATATCTTGTATCATCTTCCACACAAAATACTAAATTACTAAAATTGTACTTATTGCTATGAAAAAAACAACACAGAAGCAAAAGTTTGTTCAGGTAGTTGCCAAAAACTTTATGGAAATTGTAACAGTAAAGTAAAAAATGTTTCGAGGAATACAAAAGGAGTTATATTCCTGGGACTCAATTTGGCTTTAAAGAGTCGTAGTACATCGATATCTTTATCTTTATCTTTCTTCTACTCAGAAATGCTAGGTCATGGAGAATACACACTTTAAGTCACCATATTGCACACAATAGCAATACAGATGCAATAAAAGCACTTAAAAAATTTTGGCCATTTATGTAAGGGATGACTTTAATTTGGACTCTTCACAACGTAAAAGAACTATTTTCTACACTACATGTCCTGGGTAAATTCCGTCATTGACTTAAGAACACCGTGGGTTCGAACTTCAGTAGGACTTTTGCATTCTATTATAATATACACATAAGCATAAGAAATTTCATCTGCCAAAAAAACTGGAAATATAGAGAAATAGAAAACCTATAGAATGTCCAAAACGGCAAAATTGAAAATGTTGCAGACTCGATTTGATTGAGCCTGTTGATGGACAATACTGGAAAGTGCAAGCTACCTAGCACCGGCTAAAGTATACTTGACATTGTAAAATTTTGAATCTGGAAACATCCACAGATGCATGAGCTCATACGGCGGTTATCATGAAACCTCCAATGTGGCAAATCCGTGTCATGTCATGATCAGCAGAGTATGGTCTCCAAGACAAAGAACGCATGTGCCCTAAACGAAAGAACAATAGGCTAAACTAAATAAGATGGAATTTTGGAAAGGGATCAGCAGACTAGCTGTCAAAATACAACTTTAAAAACAACTTTTAAAGCTTCCTACTCTATCCGTAAAAATTATTTTATGTTCTTTCTTATGTAAATGAAAGATTACAAATAAATATTGTTTAAACTAAAATACAAATTTCAAAAGCAGCCAACATATATTTAAGGTTAAATTAAGAATACTTGAACCACCCACCTAAAAATAGCCAGATAACAATAACTAAAAGTACCACAAACACAACAATTATTTTGTGCTGAACAAACACCGAGAATCGGAAATATAACATCACTAACTTGTTGTACGATGGCGACATTATTACAGCCTCCAATTGACCTTTACATTGTCAGCGTGACTTAAAGCCCAACAAATTAAACAAAATAACAAAAACTTAAACAAAACTTTATGTTTCACTCAACATATTACGCAATTCAAGTATATATGTCTTTTTAAAACAATGCTAATACTCTTATTATTATAGACATTCAATACAGAATGCACTTTTTAAGAAATATATCGAATTTGGCATGAGTACGACCATTTAAAGACTGGTGTCATAATTTCTTTATAAAAATACAAGTTTAGACTGCACCTCCATTGTCTTGTAAAGACTGAGACGGAGATATCTATTTTATCAATTTTATCACCAGAATACGTATACAATGAGATAGCCAGTGTACTTAATGTGCATTAGCTAGTCTCTACATATGGACTTTATCAGGAGTGATGAATACGTATACCACAGGTTTCATTTATCTCGTCTTCTCTTTTCCCCTCGGTACGTGTACGTCTTTGGGAACACAGAGCATCGGCAGATGATTGAAGAACCAATGTTTCGTGTAAGACGGCAAGTTCTTATGTTTTCTACAGCTCGGAGTTACGTTTAAGGCGGCACGACGAAGCTTGCATGAAGTTAGCTGTCGGTGTCCGGACTTAAGCCGATAGGAGTGGCCCTACAAAGTATGCAGATTCAACGAAGATTTTGTACTAGGGTGGATGAGCCCCTAGTACGAATGACGGCTTGTAAGTAAAGTAAGGTCCTTTGCTTGGCACCAACATACCTTTAAATTTAAGGAATACCTTCATTATTGTCTCAGGTTAGTGTACATTTAGGTTCTCATTGACCGCCGTACAGTGACCTACTTTTGGCTTAAAATTCATTACTTCGGCTAAAACTCCAAGGAGGTAAATTATCACCACTTTGTGCTTCAAAATTAACTTGGAATGATTGGTGACATGTCCGGGGTACCGTACTCGACAGCGAAAGCTGTTTTTTGCCTTACCGGGCGGATGGACGTTAAGCATACATGTAGACTACATACATATATCACAGGTTTAACCCCTGGCGACAACTACATTGAAACTGTACCCTAACGCTAACTGGACAGCTGACTGATTTTATTCAAAGAGTTAATGAAATTTACATATTTATATTTAAATAAAACTAGATTTTTCTTTGATCATCACAATCTTTGTTCAATGTGTTGATCGATGAAATAGTTCTACAGACTTTGAAAACGTGATAATGTATTTTAAGGACCGGCGAAAAGGAAATCGTAGCAGAGATTGTGCTCAAGCATTATGGTTCATGGACAATTTATGTAAGCGAAATGATACTTCATATAACGAAATGAAAATAAAGAAGTAAATAAAACTGTTCAAACCTTCATTTAATGTTAGACGCTAATTTTTAGTTGGGACGTAGTCCCAACTAGTGCACTTACAAACCCGAAATTTCCAACCATACAGGGTAACGCCCACTGCTGTGACGTTTCATCGCCACTCTATATGCTATATTGTATTCTAACATATCAACGTAAGCTGAATTCATAGTGATCACCCGACCATGACCGACGCATAACCGCCGCGAGTGAAAAAATAGTGCTCTGAATTTCTGAAAACTTCGATTTATTGCGAACAGAAAGAGGAGACAAGAAATTTATTTTTTGAAAATAATGTGCAATTGAGCTTGAATTACGGTATTAGAAACGTAGCGGATACAATTTGAAAGGTCACATAATTCTATGAATGGGATAGTAAATTAATTGGGTCATAGTGCTTGACGGCTTGCAATATTTAACTTACTCATCCGCCTTATCATCACATTTTTTTGTATTATATTCCAGAAATTTTTGAAAAAGACAATATTTTTCGGATAAATTTTGTAGTTTATAATTGCAAAGTGGATATTGAAATAGAATTAGCCAGAGATGTAGATAATCTATTCGTCTCTGAATTAGCCGATAATTAGGTTAAATGAATCCGACAACTTCCGGTATATTTTTTGACCTACTTCACGAGCATAATTATCAGCCTGTTAAGCTCATAAGGTAAGTTATAAAGCAAAATATGTTATGAATTTGATGAATAATAATATTAAGTTTATTTATTGATGCCAATTTGTTTCCGAGGACTAAAACTTTCGTAAATAATTTCGAAGTAATTTGGAGATCTCGAGTCTTTCGTACCCAAGACATTTCGATCATACTTAGACTGCAAATCGACAGATTTTACAAATTGATATTACACAGATGTCTGCCTTTACAGGAAAACCGGCATATATGCCTACAATTTTTTGGTCTTGTCACGGCCGTTACGTCTCTACCAAATGGGGCACATTCTTGAATATTTCAGAATAATTTTATTTTGACCTTTATAAATTATTATATCTATATCTATTTAAAGTCTAGCCATTTCATTTTGGGTCATCTTTTTACAATTTGAATAATTATTCTGGAAAAACAAAGTGCGCAAATGATCTAAAGGTTTGTACAAAGATTAGTGTTCTAAACATTCATCAAATGGTACATTTATCTGGAAAAAATATTTCAGTTCCATCATGACAAAATACCTCAATGGAACCCCTTTAAATTGAATTACACTTTTTTTAAATGTATGGGTAAATTCCATTTTCAGTAGTTGAAATTTTTCCTCTTTTCTCATTAATCAAGCTATAGTTTCCCATTTATAAAGCCACAGGTTGTTTTGAAAGTTGAAAAAAAATCACTGCCACCTTGATAATTGTTAACCTGAAAAATCTTCAGGCACTTAAAGGGATTTGAACCCCAGACCTCTTGATTACAAGGCAGACACACAACCATGTCGCGAAAATGTCAACACAACAGCAAGACTGTTGGAAATGATCTATACCTGTTCTCAATACATGGTTGAAGTTATTTATCAGTGTTTAAATTAGACATTTTATATGATTTTAACAATTTTTGACACTACTGATATTCACATTTTTTTCACAAATCTACATGTAAAAAATAAAGATCATAATAAAATGATAGAACATTTTCTATTTTAGTGGTAATACTGTGGAGTAATATGAAGAAATATTATTAATATTTTATTATCATAAATTTTTCAAATTTTAATTATGTCATTACATGCTGTACACAATCATATTATTGTGTAAACATATATATACATTGTATAGACACATATATACATTGTATATACACACACTAAGAGAGTAGTATTAGATGAATTTGAAAATGAAATCTCTAAATTGATATTTTCAGGGAAATAAAAGATCATTTACTTTAATATTCACTTGGAAAGGCTGGTACATGTAGCTAGAAAAAAGTACAGTATAAGATTAAACAAAGACTAGAAGATTATTACAAACAACAGGTACTTATATAATATTTAATGTATATTTCACAAACCAAACTGTTTTCCAAAAAAAATTAATGAAAACAATATTTGACCTAGAGTCATAAGATTGACAGAACAGTGGCGT